TTGAAAAATTCCTCTGCTTGTCTGGTTCTAAAAAGGGATGGGTTCAGAAAAGATTGCAGTATCTTGCCTACCTTTCTCCTGAAAACCAAGTGGGGCTCTCCTCCTGAAAGCCCCCTGGGATTTTGAGTGTTTTTAGAAAGAACCCCTTGGAATCCTTTACAATCACAGTTTGCTTGCCTTTAAACTAGCATTATTCACAGACACATTCTTCTTCAAAGAGCAAAGTTACCTTCTTGACCTTAGTATGGCTTAGTAAGAGGGAACTAGATAAAATAATGAAAAACAAAGAAATCTCCATGTCAGGCCTGACTTCAGGTTTAAATTTCAATACTAGAATGCAATGCGATGCTTGTAGATCATCTAACAGTTATCAAAAGGTTTACTGAGCCATAGCATGGGAAGGGTACTCAAGCAAGGATACAACATTGGCTCAGGTAGATGCCATATTCCTCATCTACCCAGGGTAATGTATCTGGTCAACAGTAAAGGGTCAACAGCTCAGACCTTAACCCATTGGACCAGTTAAGCCTTGGGGACAGCTACTTTGCCTTTTTGGGAAAATACCAGAACTAATCTACATGTCTGATAAATAGATGTTGCTTCTACCATACCTTCATATCACAGAGCAAGGCCTCAAATCAATTCCATAGAATCTTGAGCTGCAATATGGATGACCCAGATTCTGTAGTTGATATTTTTTAGTGCCAGCTCATTTGTCAATCAGCCAAAAAAAATTTATAAAGTACTTACTACGTGCCAGGCGTTGTGCTGGGTGCTAAGGATACAAAGAAAGGCAGAAATAGTCCCTGCCCCCAAGAAACTTACGTTCTAACGGGGGAGGCAACATGGAAAAACTGTAAATGTGAATTCTATACAGTAGAAGGTCATTTCAAAGGGAAGGTCCGAGGGATGGGATAGGAGGAGGTGGGAAAGTCCTTCTGTAGAGAAAAGGATTTGGAGCTGAGTCTCGAAGGAAGTAAGAGGAGCCAGAGGCTGTAAGGAAGAAGCTAAGTATGGGGGCAGTCAATGAAAGTCAGGAGATGGGGTGTCATGTGTGAGGAATGACAAGAAAGCCAAGGCTGTTGGATCATAGATTATGTGGAGGGGGATAAAGTGAAAGAAGACTAGAAAGGTAGGAAGGGAACAGGACATTCCTAACATTCTTTCACTTTATCCCCCTCCACATAAAATAAAAGCCAAACAGAGGCTTATATTACAGGGTCCCTGGGAAAACAGGACCCTGAAATGCATTTCTGGACCAAATTATCTCAATGTGCAGTAGGAACAGCTCATAAAGTGTTTTCTGTGTTTCAGCTAATGCGCTGCTACGTGAGCTTAATCCTGAAGTGGACACGGAGGCGGCGTGATACAGTAGAAAGTGATTCTACAGGCAAAGGAGCTAAGTTTAAATCCAGCCACTAACACTTAGGGATTCTGTGCCCCTGCGCGAATCACTTTCCAATTTATCAGTTTCCTCATCTATAAACGAGAGGGGTTGGGATAGATGTCCTCTGAAGTCCCTTTCAGCTCCAGATCCATGACCTTCCTCCAAAGCTAACGCTGCTTTCACAATCTACCTAAGACTGAGGTGCCATAGGACTGCAAACAGCAGCACTTTTCAACAGTATGTTGAGAGAAAGAAAGAAAGAAAGAAAGAGAGAAAGAAAGAAAGGAAGTTTATTTCTGAATGTCCATTGGATCTCCCTCCCGGTGAACTTTATACTCGCAGCTATATTGGATATTGGATGACCCTTCTCCCACCTCCACCCCCAGCTGACTGATAGTGTTTTTGCAAAAGGTGCGGTCAACACCAGGACTTTTTCCAGATGAACGGGTGAGAGACAAAATGTCAGTCAGTCTGAAGCCAGACTAGTACTCTTTGATTGATTGATTGAAGAATGAATGAATGTTAAAATATATTAATTTAGCACTTACTATATACCTGACACTTGCTAAAAACTGGGGGCACAAATATAAAAAGATAGTCTGTTCTCAAGGAGTTTGCATTCTAATAAGAAAAGATACTACATATAAGAGAGAGTTGACCAGGGAGGGGTGTTTAGGAATGGGAAATAAGAGGGATAGTGAGCAGATCCATAGGGCAATTCAGTAATATGTCCTTTCCAAGGATAGCAAGAGCTGGAAAGGAGTGGAGGGCTGAGAAATAGTATGGGCCTGTGGCACGGCATGAAGATGGTTGGAGGCCAACAGCATGGTGGGTCTCAGTCAAGCCCTAATCAGGAGCTCAGGACCCCAGGGAGGTTTCAAATTCGGGCTCTTTCACTTACTCCCTGGGTAACCTAGAATATGCCATTTCATTTCTCTGGGCCTCTGTTTCCATATTTGTAAAAGGAAGAATTTTAACCAGATGATCTGTCTAGTCTTGTAAGCCACTAAGACGCAGCATCATAATATGGCTGCAACGATGTCATCTTAGGTTTCATTAATAGAAATTTGCATCCAATTGATCAGATTATATATGTAATATTATATATACATATATATTCAAATATTATTTGAGTTCCAGATAAAACATTCTAAAAGAGATAATAGCAAATTAAAATGTATCTGGAGGAGAACATATGAAGAACAGTAGAAGGAACTGGGGATTTTTATCATGGAGAAAGAAGACAGAAGGAATTTGAGATCTATCTTCAACTGTTTGAAAGAATGACATGTAAAAGCAAGTAGACTTATTGTAGGTAGCTCTAGAGGGCAGAACTAAGACCATGAGAGGAAGGCACAGGGGAGCAAATTTCTTTTTTTTTTTGTTTTTTTTTTTGTTAGGCAATGGAGTTAAGTGACTTGCCCAGGGTCACACAGCTAGTGAGTGTTATGTGTCTGAGGCTGGATTTGAACTCAGGTCCTCTTGACTCCAGAGCCAGTGCTCTATCCACGGTGCCACCTAGCTGCCCCAGAAGAGAAAATTTCAACTTGACAGAAGAGAGAATTTTCTAACAATAGAATTATTGAAAAATGGAATGGGTACTCTTAGGAGGCAGTGAGTTTACAATTCCTGAAAATATTCAAAAGCAAAGGCCAGATCATAGGATTTTAGAGGTAGAAGAAAACAGTGTTATTTAGTCCAACACCCTCACTTTTCTTTATTTTTTTTTATTAATACATTTTAACTTTCATTGACAAGTATATTTAAATATACAAACAATAACAAAAGAAATAAAATGCAAAAATAAAAACAAATGAATGGAATAAAAAAGTAATTGCAAATAATTGTACATGTAACCATACACTTCTATTATTTACTGCTTTCAGCTCCCCTTTATGTGTTGTCTTCCCTCGTCAGAGTGTAAGCTCCTTAAGGGCCTGCACCATCTTTCTTTTTGCTTGTATTTGTATCCCCAGTGTTTAGTATAGTGCCTGGCACATAATAAATACTTGTTGACTTGACTTGATTGTTAAACAGAAGATGTGCATATGAACTTTTATGTGGTAGTAACAAAGTCATCCTTTATCTTTAACATGAATTTACTGTTTTCATTTATATGTTTATAATTATGCTTTTGGTTCTGCTTTTGTCATTATGCATCACTTCATATGCCTTTGAAATCTTCTTATTTGTCCTTTCTTGTGGAGTAATAATATTCCCTTACCTTCATACACCACCACAATTTATTCAGCCATTCCTTTGTCACTTTGTTCATAGTTTGTCTGCAGTTATTTTACTCTGAAGAATAATCCTGGTAAGAATACTTTTGTACAAATAGATGGGGGTTTAATTCTAGTAATCTCCTCCTTAAACCAATCAGCACAACCTCCTTATTTCACAGACATGGAAACTGAGGCCCAAAGACTGACTTGCCAAAGATTGTAGAGGAGATGCCTGCACTAGGTGGGATGATCAAGTATATAAATTCTGAGATCCCTTTCTAACTCTTGCAATCTGAGATTCTAAGTGAGCCATTTTCATGTTGTAATGATCATCTAAGAGAAAGTGTTTTCTTAATGCTGTCATTGTTGAATTCTATACAGTGCTCTCTGGCCCTTGTCCATGTCATTCATTATAATGAAGGCCCTTGATTACTTGCTTTTTGTGTTGTAAATTGGGAGAGACTAGATAAGCTTCACTCCGGATGTGCCATCAAATAATTTACCCATCATCTCCCTTCATTTCTGTCCACTTAAACATTCAAACTCCCTAGAGAAGACCCATCTAATTTCTCAAAGCAGACACCAAAATAAAAGACCCTCTCCAAAAAAAAAAAATCAGTTGGAACTCAGAGGAGGAAATAGGTCACAGAGAGGTGGAATACTGTGTGTTTGAATTATGTCTTTCACCTATTACTTCAGAACACCCCCTCTCCTTTGTACTTTACCCTAGAGAAGATTCACTTCACTTTCCTTTCCTCTAAGTCCTGCAGATTTCAAACATGATATTTTTTTTTCTCAGTATACTCACGGTAACACAATTTCATTAAAACAAAACAATCTGACTATTCTGTGGAATTTATGGATTTTCCCCTATAAATGTTTCTTGTGAATAACAGGTACAGTTCTAGGTAGAAAGGCCAAAGATATGGGGTCATTTCTGCTTATAATTTTAATAAGAAAAAGACAATGCTGAAAGACAGATACACTAATTTACTACTGACTGAACAGTGAATTGGCCCAACTATTCTGAAAAAATTATTTTAGAATTACACAAGTTTCTAAACTGTTGCTACCTTTTGATCCAGTCAGTCAACAAACATTCATTAAGCACTTATTATGTGTCAGGCACTGTGATCTCATTACTGTGGTTTATACCCCCAAGGACATCAGTGAAAGATAGAATAGTCCCCAAGGTATCAAAATATTCATAGCAGCACTATTTATAATAGTTAAAAGCTGGGAACAAATTGTGTCCAATGACTTGGGAATATCTGGGAATGGGAATTACTGTAAAATATTATTAGACAGTAAGTAATGATGAATATGAAGAAATTAGAGAAACATGGAAAGACATAGACTGATACAGAGTAAGGAAAGAAAAATCAATAAAACAATATACATAATGATTTTAATAATGCAAATAAAGACAACCTAAAAGGCAAAGAAATTCGAGTTAATAGCAATGGTCAGTATTCCTCCCAGATGACGTATTTCCTTTCAATTAAGAAGGAGGGGGAAAAAGAAAAAAAAAAGGAAGAAACTATAAAAGTGGAAAATTATGTGTGCTATCACTTACAATAGCTGTTTTAGATGGCTTTGCCTAATCACAGCTTTTTAACAGAAAGGTCCAGGGCAGGAAGGGGCATTGTTTATTGGGAACGAATTGGCACATATATCTAAACAAAACGTATCAATAAAAATAATGATGAGTAGCTTTGTGCTACTTAGTAGATAATGACAGAGATATTATCCTTAGTCTGATAAGAGCAGTCTGAATGAAACCACTTGCTCTCCTCCAAAGATCTCCAGGGATTATATTACACACATGGTATTTCCAGCTTTGCAAAAGCATTTATATTTGTTTGCAAGGTCATGGGTTCGGAGGAGCACCACATCTTCGTACTACAAGGGAAGAACAGCAAGAGGTTAGGAGTGGCCATCATGTCTTAGGCGATCAACTGGGCAAAATGGGTGGTAGTAAATCGAACAAGATTAGAGGTGTGTTGGGTTTTGCTGAGCCTGTTTTAATGCAACTTCAAGACTCAAACTCATAATCTCAGAGTTAAAAAGAGGTTACAAGATCAGTACTCTAACACATAAGCTGTGGAGTCCTTACAGCAGTGGGGCGTGGTGGATAGAATGATGGACTGGGAATGAAAGAGACCAGAGTTCAAATTCTCCTACTGATGTTTCCCAGAGGTGACTATGTGTAAATCACTTAATCTCTCTAATCCTCAGCATTTTCATCTGGAAAAAGGGAGGGGTTGCGCTCACTAGCCTCTAAGGTCCCTTCCAGCTCTCAATTTATGACTTTACCTCACAGGTAAAATTCTGAAGCTCAGATGAGATAAAGTATGCAAAGTGATTTGCATACTTTAAAGTACCATTGTGACTGTGTTGTTATTGTTATTGTTATTATTCATACCACTGAAACACAACCACTAGGGAAACTTGGTGAGAGAAGATGACTCCATCTGAATCTGAATCTGAAAACCTAATCCCAACTCTGCCACTTATTATCTGTGTGACCTTGGAAAAGTCATTTCACTTTCCAAACTTTCCATTTCCTCTTATGCTTTTAGCTTTAGATACTATTAAACCAAAGCATCTGGCACTATAAAGAACAGAGTTTCTCTTTTTAGCAAAGGCTTCTGGCCAACTCTGAGACCAGGAGTAGTGCATCATCTAGGAATGAGCCCCTCAGAGTGAGGTTGTAGTTGCCAAGTCAATAATAATAATCATAACAGTTCATACTTACCTAGTTAGCACTTTAAAGCTTGTGAAGCACTGTATATCATCTCAATTGAGCCTCACAACAACCCAGGGAGGATGGTGTTATTTTTAATTCCTATTTTACAGATAAGAAAACTGAGGCTAAGAGCTTAACTACCCCAAGAGAGCTAATCTGAGACAAGGTTTGAACCAAGACTTTCTCTGACTCTAGTTCACTATTCCATCCACTCTTCCATGCTGATTCTCCTGTACATGTTCTCAATGCAGAAACATTCCACGAAATTTTCAGCCACACCTGCCCATTTTGCTGGTCTGCCTTCAATTAATCTCATTTTTGGAAGGGAAGGACAACACGGAAGGTTAAGGTGGCTGAAGTCACCTTCCTGTGAAGGTGATAAACTTCCTAGCATCACTCACTGGGCCACTGGAACCTTAGCAAGTCCTCTGTCTCTTGGACAGGAACAAGCATGTCTCTAGCCTATTTATCAGGGAATTAGATTCAGTGCTATTCCATAGCATGTTATAGGATATTCTTTCTTTCAGTAGCACTAGAATATTTGTTTGATGGACAGTAAGCAGCTTCCCACTTCAAGTTAGTTATTTCTTTCTTTCTTCCCTTTCCTCTACCCTCATTGGCAATCATTAATCCAGAAGCAGCCTCCATACTACTGAAATGTCAGTTTGGCAATTATTTCTGACGTAGTGTGTAACAGACAGACAAACTAGTACATTAGAAAAATATAAATAGAAAATAAAGGGGAACAACTAAAAAGCTTACTCAGAGGAATACTTCCAGCTTTGAGTGGCAGGCTAGAAGTACCTGGTACCTAGCGAGGTAGGGAAGTCTTGCTTACCACTTACTCATACTAGTATATCTCCATACGGGAAAGTGGTAACTGAATGGTATCTTGTCATATCAAATTTCATGTTATTCCCATCACCCAGAAGCCCTAAGTGTTCAGGATGACATCTCAGGCAGACCCAGCTAGCCAAGACTAAAATAGGTTTTGGCCAGAGTAAGCCCATTTACTGGCCCTGGTTTGTTTTGGAGACATTTTTATATTAGGAGCACTATATATAGTCAGGTGGAAAGGACAAATGTCTGTGTTTGGCAATGGTCACTGAAAGGGTCTGTTTACCTGTGGTTAGCAGGCAAAGGGATGGCGCAGAATCTCCCAGTGATGGAGCTCTTATCTTTCTTCCAAACATGGTTGGAGGAAAGAACCTTCAGGATCACTTGATTTATGTGGCAATGTGGGATCGAGTGGGCTATCAGTCCTTTGCCAATGAACTGGTTTTTCAATCTGTAAGGAGACACAAGAGTGAAATCCTGGAGAACCTGTTGTCCAGACTACTTGTCTGGCACTTACATACTTCCATATTATATTCCAGAGATCTTTTATTTCATTGCTAGGAATGATCCCTCCATGAGTGCTGAGAGAAATCCCTCTAATCCTCAGAACAATGGTCTCCAAAGAAGGGAACTTGTCTGTAGCTTGACCCTGAGGGTTATGTGATCAACCAATCAGAGGGTGGAAAGATGGGTCACCTGTGGTCACCTTTCTAGTATTGAACCTCTTTAAATTTAGCTAGACTGATATCACCTCAACTAACAGATACATAGACCCTCATCACTTTATGCCTCTACTAAAGCAATAGCCTGCTGGTGGGTCTGCTGGCCACAAGTCTTTCCCCACTCCAGTCCATCCTCCGCTCAGATGCCAAGGTGATCTTCCTAAAGTGTAGGTCTGATCATGTCACCTCTCTATTCATTAAACTCCCATGGCCCCCTATCATTTCCAGGATCAAAAATAAAGCCCTCTCTCTGGCATTCGAAGCCCTTCATTACTCGTCCTCCTCCCCTACCTTGCCAGTCTTCTTATATCTTACAAACCCAGCTTGAAATCTAAGATCCAGGGATGCCTCCTTACTGTTCCTCAAATAAGACACTGAGATTTTTCATCTCCTGACTCAGGGTATTTTCATGGGTGTCCTCCATGCCTAGAATGTTCTTCCTCTTCATCCCCACCTCTTGGCTCCCCGGGGTTCCTTTAAGTCCTAGTTAAAATCCAAATTCTACAAAAAACCTTTTCCAATCCCCTTTAATGCTAGTTCCTGCTCTCCAATTGGTCTTGTATATAGTTTGTTTGTACATAGTTGTTTGCATGCTGGATCTCCCATTAGACCATGAGCTCCTTTAGGTCAGGGACTATCTTTTACCTTTCTTTGTATCCCCAGTGCTTAGCATAGTGCCTAGCACATAGTAGGAATGAAGTAAATGTTTAATGAGGGCAGCTAAATGTTGCAGTGGATAGAGGGCTGGGCCTGGAGTCAGGATGACTCATCTTCTTGAGTTCAAATCTAGCCTCAGACACTTACCAGCTGTGTGACCCTGGGCAAGTCACTTAACCCTATTTGCCTCAATTTCCTCATCTGTAAAATAAGCTGGAGAAGGAAATGGCAAACCACTCCAGTATCTCTGCCAAGAAAACCCCAAAATGGGTCACATAAAGTCAGAATTGATTAAACAACAACAAATGTTTAATGACTTAAAATAGATAGGTAACTCAAAACCTTTTCAATGTGGTAGCTGGAGCTTGGATTTCTTAGGTATTTCCTTTGAGAACTTGAGATCACCTCTACCAAATAATGAGTCATCATAGCAAACTTATAATGGAAAACTTGTCAGATATTACCTGGTACTTTTAATTAACCCCTTCATTTAATATGTATATCTTAGCTCTTCAGCTAGATAGTTCCCCATTACTGGAGTTGTTCAGGCTAAGGATGGATGATTTCTCTTTTTTGTTGATACCTTTTGCTTTTACATTACATGTATTTCTGAATAGTTCCCTTCTCCCTTGTCTGCCCATTAAGTCACTGGATGACCTCTCATCTAGGGTGTTCGTAGGAGAATTCATGCAGCAGGTAAGGGTTAGCCTCAAATTTGCTCTTTAAGTTTATTACATGAGTCAATTGTATACTACTAACATATAGATTTGTTTCTGTCCCTAAAGATGTTTTCATCTGATTCTGATATCTGTCTAAATTAAATAAATATTAATAGTTCAAACTAATATAGGCCTTAAACTTTACAATGTACTCTCCAGATCTTAGCTCATTTGAACCTCACCACGACCCAATGGGTGGGGCATGCAAAGGTGTATGTATGTATGTATGTATGTATATATGTGTGTATATACATATGTATATGCATATGGATATGTATGTATATACATAAATATATATATACACATACATACACACATATATACATATATATCATATCAGGAAGCTCAGTGACTTGTTAAAGGTCCCATGTTGAAGAGATCAGAACCTATTCTCCTTACTTCAAGTCCAGGGTTCTATGAACTACATAACACTACCTCAGAACAAAGGCACAAAGGAGGGGTTGGAGAGTTGAGGGACATAGAAAGCACTGGGACCCATTAAGTTTGAAATCTTTAGACTAGGTGGACTTTGAGGTTCCCTTCTGGTTCTGGAATGCTATGGATGCTTGCTATGGTACTAGAGCATGAAGTCCTGAAATGCAGAGACTACACCTTATACATCTTCAGATTTGCCACTGAGATAGGGATACAGTAGGTACTCAATAAAAATTTGATGCTATGTTGAGAGAAAGGAGAGAGCGGAGAGGAAGGAAGAGAAAGGGGAGATTGGGTTTGGGAAAGAATGAAATAGAGGGTGGGAGAGAAAAGAGGGAGAGTGAGTGAGAAGGAGGAAAAGAAGGAGGAAGAGAAAACTTTAGCAAAAAGGGGCTCTCCTAATTCTTGACATTTCATCACTTGGGGAAAAACACCCAGTTGGGTTTCTAATAAAAGGCAAAAATAAGATTGAAAGAGAGCTCCACTTCTAGGTTGAGTTACCTAGAAATGGAAAGTTTATTTTAAATTCTTAGTTCAACAAATTTTGTAGGAGGATTATTCTCTCTTAGGAGTTTAGAATGAGTCTTGATTTTATTATTAGTTGGCTGGGTTTTGGTTTGGTTTGGCTTGGTAAGGTATTTTTGGCTATGAGGATTGTGCATTTTCCAGGCCTTTTCAGACCTTAAGTGGCAGCATTTGCATGTATTAAATCTGTTAAAAAGCAAAGTTTCCAAGGGTTTTGCTCCCCTTAGGTTTTGAGGCATAAGGATGCGTATGCAGGATCTTTCAAACTAAGGGGAAAGTTTGAACAGAGGACTAGATGCCCTCTTTCTATCTTCTGTCCTTATAGAGCTGGGGCTTCATTTTCCCACCCTCCTTGCCTTGAAGCCCAGATCTGCGTGAATATTGCCTAAGCTCTGCAGGGCTGTATGACAGAAAGAAGGACTATGAGCCACCAGATCAGAAGCAGGATGCTCAGAGACAGGGAGATTAAAAGGGATATGAAATTCCATATAGGAACCTGACCTCTGATTTCATGGTACAGGGAAGAAACTCCCTCTAGTAGTGCAGGTCAGCACCTTTTCTGCAATTTCAAGTCTTCTACAGCTGCCTTGGTCACTGAGGAGTTAACTGGCTTGCCCAGGGTCACACAGCCAGTGTGTGCCCTCCGCAGGAAGAGCTGCTTGACTTCCTCCAGAGGAAGAACTTCTTGGCTTCAAGGACAGCTCTCTAACCACTACAGCTCTTTACGAAACTCAAGGAGAAGAAAATGTGGGGTGTCAGGGAAAAGAGCAGAGGATCTGAAGAAGACTGAGATGCAGTAGTTAGAAAGAGCCCAGTAAGAGACTGAGAGCTTATAGAGGTTACAGAGAAAGACTGTCTCTGTCCTCAGTTTATTTACACTGTATCAGGGGAACTTATGTAGATATATAGATATATAGACTTATATAGATATACATACAAAACAGATTCAAGGTGACTTGGGGGGAGGCATTAGTAGCCAAGGGAATCAACTTCATTTAGAAGATGGTGCTTGAGGGGTTCTTAAAAGACACTAAGGATTCTAAGAGGTGCAGTCAGTCAACAATCAACAAGCATTTATTAAACCCTTACTATGTGCCAGGAACTGTGCTAATTACTGAATATACAAAGAAAGGCACATACATAGTCCCTGCTCTCAAGGAGCTCAGAGTGTAATAGTGAAGAGGTGAGGAGAGTGTGTTTCAGGCACGAGGACACGGCCAGTGGAAAGGTACAGAGACAGAATTGGATGCTAACTATTTTAAAATTCTTTTTATGCTAAAATGTCTTTAAAATATTCAAAGAAAAAAAGATTAGATCCATTGCAAAAACATGTTAATTCAGGAGAACTCAAGGACACTCAAGTATGAATGCCTATCTCTACTCCTCTCTCCCTTTGCTTATATCAGAACTCAGAGTGTGTTGAAAAAGAGTTTCATCAGAAGTGTGGCAAGGAAGGAACCGACCTTAACTCAGTCATGCAGCCCTGCTCTACTTCCTCTTCTGAATTTGGGTTGTAAAATTTTAGATCTTATAAAAGAAGAAAGACAAGTGCTAGACTTGGAGTTAGAGGACTGGGTTCAAATCATGCCTCAAATCCTTACTAGTTGTGTGACCCTAAACCAGAGGTTCCCAAACTTATTTGGCCTACTGACCCCTTTTCAAAAAATTTACTCAGCACCCCCCGCCGTGGGAATCTACTTTCTTTGACCCTGTAACTCTTTTTTATTTGTGTCATTTCAAAAAATATAAGAGTTTTTTAAAAAATGATGCATCTTTAATAATGTATTGTAAATTTGTGGGTTTTTTCCTGCATTGAAATTTTGATGACACAATATTGCATCATGTAACCATATGGTATCATATTGTAAACAAGTCATTACATACACATATTCCTGCCGATGCATGCTGGACTTCTCAACAACGTATGGCCTGCCAACACTTGCTTGTTAAGACTTGTTGGTGGACTTGACCGCTGATGGGTTATAACTTGCATTTTGTGTGTTTATTGGGAAAATAATGTAACCACTATGACTTTAATTATGTTACACAACAGATGAAACATGTAGGAATGGTTTTTCAAAATTTTCTTATTGTCTCTTCTTTCCTAATGCTTCCACCACCCCCTTAATTTTATTCAATGCCCTCCAATTGCACCCGAGGCTACCACTGCTCCCTTGGATCATACCAGCATCCCTCAGGGGGCAGTATTGCCCACTTTGGGAACCTAAACAAATCACTTAACCTTCCTGGGCCCCAGTTTCTTCATCTAAAATCTGAGAGATGAAATGATCTCTAAGGTCCCTTTCAGCTCTAAATCTATAGTCCCAAAAAGTAGCTCAATGCTAATAGCATTGAAGAAGAAGAGAATTGAGTCACCTAGTAGCTTTATTACTTGGGTAACTTATTCCTTGTTATTGTTAAGTCATTTCAGGCATGTCTAATTCTTTGTGACCCTACTAGGGATTTTCTTGGTAAGGAATCTGGAGTGGTTTGCATTGCCTTCTCCAGCTCATTTCACAGATGAGGAACTGAGGCAAACAGCATTCAGTGACTTGCCCAGCTAGTAAATGTCTGAGGCCAGATTTGAACTCAGAAAGATGAGTCTTTCCTGACTCCAGGGCTAGTGCTGTATCCACTGCATTACCTGGCTGCCCTGGAAAGGTATCTACTAGAGGGCATCTATTCCCCGGACCCTAATAACTGAGGACCTTGCCTCATCCTTTATTAAGAAAATAGAGGCCCAATCACCCTTCTTCTTCCCATTCCTACATCTCACAACCCCTTGATATCATCCTTCATTCTCTCCTTTCAATTCACTCTCTGCTCACCTTTGCCTCTTAAAATCCCTAGCATCTTTTAAGACTCAGCCCAAATGTCACTTTCTATAACAGTGGTACCAAAATCAAACATAAACAGGGCCACTAAACCATATATAAGGATCTCTGTAGCCACATAGTAACTTAGAAAATCAGATATTAACAAAATTTACATTCTGTTGTATTTTTATTTATTTTGTTAAGTATTTCCCAATTGGGTGGCTCAGTAGATAGAGCACCAGCCCTGGAGTCAGGAGGACCTGAGTTCAAATCCAGCCTCAGACACATAACTAGCTGTGTGACTCTGGGCAAGTCACTTAACCTCAATTGCCTCACCCAAAAATAAATAAATAAATAAATAATTCCCAATTAGTTCCACAAGGTGTATTATGACCAGCGTATTCAACACCTCTAGTCTACAATAAATGAAACTTTTCCTAATGCCCCCCCCAGTTGTTCAAGCTTCTCCCCAAATTATTTTACATATACTTTTGCTTGTATATATTGTCTCCCCAGCTAGATTGAAAGCTCTTCAAAGGCAGAAACTATTTTCACTTCTGTCTTTGTATCCCTAGCGTCTAATACAATGCCTGGCATGCTGTAAGCACTTAAAAAATGCTCGTTAATTGAAAATAATCCAACTCATTCATTGCACTGAGGAGGAAAGTGAGGCTTAAAAAAAGTCAATGGCTTATCCAAGGTCTCAAAGACAGTAAGTGGAGAGGTGAGATTCAAATGCAGGTCCTTGCACTCTAAATCCAGTACTCTTCATTGTACCCCAATGGTTGTTATAAGGGAAAAGACACTATAAAGCTCTCTTCACTATTTGAATGTGACCTATTATGATAACCACAATCAGGCACACAGATGTTTGGGACTATGGTCCCGGCTCTGATGTTTTCTCCCTGCATGGCCTTGGGTAAAGCACTTGACCCCTCAGTGACTCCATTTTCTCATCGATAAAATGTAGAGGTTTGACTAAATGACGTCAGAGCTTCCTAACACTTCTAAGTCTATGATCTAAAGCAGGGAGTTCTTGAGAGTGGAATGGTGTCATGTTGTGTCAGGAAAGCTTGAACTATTGCTACCTATTCGGTTTTTAGCAAGGAAAGTGCACTGATGTCCCATAACCTCAGATGCCAGGATAAATGAATGAATGAATGAATGAATGAATGAATGAATGAAAAAAGCATTTTTTTAAATACCTACTGTATGCCAGGGACTATACTAGGCATTGGGGATACAAAGACCCAGTTCTTGACCTCCAGTAGTTTACATCCTCATAGGGTAAGACCACACACATAGACAACCAAGAAAAAGAAAGGGAGTGCCCAAGGTGGGAGGGGTCAGGCACACAGATTACTTACATGGTAATCTTAATGGAAGTTGTAAGATTACTGCTATGCAAAGTGACTTCAATGTTGGTGTTCTTGTTTCTCACTTTCTGTAAATGAAACTCCACGAGACTGTAACAGACTAGGAAAGCAAAACATGCCAGAGAAATGAGGAAAGTGAGATGGGGGTGAGGGTGGGAGATTAGGAACATGAAACTTTCTACTTATATCATCCAAAATGGTGGTGGTGCCGCCAGAGCTAGGACTAGGGATAGATAAGGTGTACAGCTGCTGAAAGACACAAAACCCAGGGAGGCCACAGTGAGGGACACTTTGGAATAGTCATAGGAACACAGATGTAGACCTGGAAGGTACCTTAATGATGACTATTCCAACCCCTTCATTTTACAGTTCAGGGAATCTGACCTAGGGAATTTAAGTGAGTTGCCCAGGAATACACAGGTTGTAAGGATCAGAGGTAGAATTTGAACCCAAATCCTCTGAATCCACATCCAGTGTTAATTCTAGAGCCTTCCCTCTATTAATTATTTTCTATTTATCCTATGTATAGCTTGCATATATATTTTTTTGGTTGTTAATTTCCCCATGAGATTGTAAACTTGAGAGCAAGGAACTTTCTTTTACCTTTTTTCGTATCCTTAGTGCTTAGCACAATGCCTAGCACATAGTAGGTGCTCCATAAATGTTAATTAATTGACTTCTTATGGCTTACAGGTGTTTATTTTGTGATAAGTAGAGTTATATATTAGAATGAAGGCTTAAAGCCTCCAGTGGCCAGTAAGTAATGCCCATTGAGGCCCGGTTTTCAAATCTTATCTATAAAAATTTTTAATTTGCCCTCTATCTGAGTTTACCCATCGACTATTCAGTCACATTACTTGATTTCCCCACTGAGGCTTAAGATAGAATGAAGAGAAAGGGTCTGTTGCCCTTCATGGAACTTGATTCTCCCCTAGTACAGGAAGGAGTAGATGTCTAGGAAGAGCATGAAGGCCTGTGTAGCCATGGGCTTGATTTGAAACATAGGATCATAGATTTAGATCTGAAAAAGATTTTAAGGATCATCTTGAGGAAACTGAGGCCCAGAGAGAGGAGTGACTTGCCCAAGGTCACAAATAGTAAGCAGCAGAAGTGAGACTGGAATGTGGGTCCTATGACTCCTGAGTCAGTCCTCATGTGGCATTGTCTAATGGTCAGAGCAGGACTTGAAACCAAACATGTTGACACCAAATTTCCTCCATAATAGACTGTTGGGGTTCAGCTAGATGGTGTAGGAGTCAGGAAAACTCATCTTCATGAGTTCCAATCTGGCCTCAGAAACTCAGTAGCCATCTGACCCTGGGAAAGTGATTTCATCCTGTTTGCCTCAGTTTTCTCATCTGTAAAATGAGCTGAAAAGGGAATGGCAAACCACTCTAGTATCTTTGCCAAGAAGACCCCCAAAATGGGGCTACAAAGAGTTGGACATGACTGAAAACAACTGACTAATAATAAAGGCTGCTTTCAATATTAGTAGTCTGAGATAAGATGGGTTTCTTCTTTTATTTCTTATTGTTGTTTGATTTTATTTGGGAGGAGAGAAAGTTGCTACTCACGGCAGTATGGAGCCTTTGAAGTGGTCAGGAGGTAGACTTTCACTTCTTTGGGAGGCTTTTCCATGTTGATCCCTCCTTGTTCCAGTAAACCTAGAAGGAAAGAAGCAAAAAGAGCTGAACCTTCAAAGGTATGATCAAGAATTGAGAGTGTTAGAAGCCTTTTTTCCCTACAGGAAAATAGAAGGGGAAGAGGATGAGAGAAGGGGGTAGGGTGTGATGGAAGAGAGGGCAGATTGGGGGAAAGGGTAATCAGAATGAACAAACATCTTGGGGTGAGGGAGGGAAGAGATGGGGAGAAAATTTGGAACTCAAAATCTTGTGGAAGTGAAGGCTGAAAACTAAAAATTAATTAATTAGTTAATTAGTTAATTAAAACACACAGAAGCGAGAATATTCTGATTTCTCTCTAGTCATAATTGTTCATTGCCCAACCTAGCAAACAGCCATATTTATTCACAGGAAATACTGATCTCCCTTTCTCAGCTGGGTAATAAAAAAAAAATTTGATTTGATTTGACTGACTAAACATAGAAAATTGTTGGGGTTTTTTTTAAATGTTGCTGAGCTGCCACAAAACAAAACTTCCTTTCAAGGCCGGAGTCTTGGTCATTGCAGTTATGTTTGGAAGCCTTAGGTGACACCATAACAGAGGAATATGTTTCTCACAGGTTCTTTGGCCTGGATGTGTCCACATTGTAGAGACAGCATAAAGTAGTACAGAGGTGTCAGACATGTGGGCAACAACACTCCAGAGTGTGGTCTGAACCAGATTAAAATCTACTTGGGAAATATTTAACAAAATAAATTAAAATACAATAAATTGTAGATAATTAATTTGTAGTTTTCTAAATCAATACACGGCTCACAGAGATCCACGTGTACTGTTTAGCAGTTCTGTTTCTATTTGTGTTTGATACCATGGGTGTGGTAAATAGAAGGCTAGGCTTGGAGTCTGGGTTCAAATCTTCCCTCTGACCTAGTAAAGGTCAGGCAGGGTAACTCTAGGCAACTTACTATGTAACTCAAGCAACTCCCTAGGTTTTATCTACTGAGTTATAGATGGTGTATGATTTGTATCAGTGGAGAGAGCTTCCGCACCAGGAGTTTCTTGACAGTAAGAAAATCACAGACCCTTCAAGTATTTCGGTATCCTCACACAACACTGTCAGCACCAGGTCACGTTTTCTCTTCTTTCATCTTCTAGATGCCTTCAGATATAACACTGCCTCCTGTCTCTGTGCAGAGACCTTGAGGATAGGCTGGGTGGATCTGGAACCTTCTAAACAGTTGCCTTCATCAGCAGACCTCCTCCCAACCACTGATATTTTGCTTAGACGAATTCCCACCCTTCCCTACTATCCCCTATATAGTATACTCTCTTTCACTCTTACACTCCCCATCCCAGAGATATTAAACCTTTAGCTTTGGAAAAATAAGCCTTCTTCCCCAACCAGCGTTGTCTCTTTCCTCATTTGCATCCACCTCAATCCACATGATCTCACGTCAGCTCTTCCTGCCTCTTCTACTTAGGCAACTAGGTGGCACAGTGACTAGAGCAGTGGGCCTGGAGTCATGGAGCCCTGAACTCAAATCTGGACTCAGCTACTTTATTGGCTGTGTAATCCTGAGCAAATCACTTAACTTCTGTCTGCCTCAGTGACCCCAGCTATAAAGTGGAAATAATAGCACCTACCTCACAGGATTGTTGTGAGGTCCAAATGAGGTAACATTTGTAAAGAGTTCAACACAATGCCACTCATGCTCCTTTCAGTTTCGGGCATCACAAAGACTGGTTCTTTCTATATCACTGCATTCTGGGATATCCTCTCTGTATTGGTTAGATCTCCTCTCATGCCCCTTAACTCACTGGTCCCATTGATGGAGGTGGAATATTCTACCATCTTCCTTCAGAAGCTTCTCCCTAGAGGTTCACTTTATCTCAATTTGTCCCTAATCCAGATCTTGGCAGCCATTAGATACCGACTCACAGGACATTTTCCTTTCTTTCTCAGTAAGTTTAGTGCCTCCTGACTCACAGTCTCCCTCTCCAGCCTCCAATCTCATATTATGGGATTTCAAAAATATATTAGTGTTCCCTCCAATACACTGACTTCCCAGTTCCTCAGTCTACTCAACCCCATGACCTCCTCCTTCATTCAACTTCAGCTACTTACATGCAAGGCAATCACACCTTTGACCTTGTCATCACCCACAAGTGTTCCACTTCCCATGTTCAAGAACTCTGAAATTCCTTTATCTAATCATAATTTTTAATCATTGCATCTTTATGTATTAATACTCCCAAATTTATTCTGTATCCTCATGGTGATCTCTTGTTCCTCTGCCTCTCAGTATTTTCTAGGCCATTACTCCTCTTCTGGTTGCATTCTCCTCCCTCAACAGTCTCGACCCCTTTGCTGAACCAGTTTAATTCTTCACCATCTTCTATACTGAATCTCTTAATTTCCTTGTCTTATCTCCACTAAGACATTGCTAAATCTGAAGACTGGATTAGTCCCACTATCTATCCCCTTTGTTCGTACCACATGCTACTGAATAGTCCCACAAAGTCACAAAAATATGCTGATTGGGTACACTACAAATCTATTTTACCCAGTTTTAGCTGAACCCTCACTTAGGTAAGACAATCCTATTCCTTCCTAATTGATTCTCTATTCAACTCACCATGGTGACTGTTTCAAGTCTTTTTTTCTCGCCTTCAGCCTGCCATGGAACCCCCTCACCCATTCTCTCAGGTAAGGCTTTTGCCTCATACTTAACAGAAAAAATTAAGGCAATTTGGGGTAAACTCCCTCTTTTCCACTTCTTAGTTTATATCTCTCTAACATCATCCCTCCACTATCTTTTCCACTCCATTCCTGGATGAAGAGATCACCCTTTTTGGTAAGGCCAACATTTGATCCTAGCTTTCCTATCTCCTACAGCAGATTGTTTCTACTATCATTCTTTCCGTCTCTCTGTCTGTCTCTGTGTATGTGTGAGTGTGTCTGTGTGTCTGTCTGTCTCTCTTTCTGTCTGTTTCTCTCTCATCTTCTGACTCCTTTCCTACTATCTGCAAATACTCTGAAGTCTTCACCCTCCTTAAAAACCCTTACTTGATCTGATGATTCCTGCTCACTCTCCTCCTAGGTCTACTCCTCTTCTCAGCTAACTTTTGCTTCCCTGTCCTCTCAATTCTAAAACCTCTTGCAATCTGGTTTCTGACTTTATCATTCAAATAAAACTGCTCCTTCCAAAGTTACCAATGATCTTTTCATTGTCAAATGTAATAACCCTTTCTCATTTCTCAGACCTCTGCACAGCATTTAAGATTGTTGATCACCTCCTAGATATTCTTCCCCCTTGGGGTTTTGGTGACACTACTCCTTGATTCTCCTCTTACTTGTCTGACCCTTCCTTCTCAGTCTACTTTGATGCATCTTCATTCATGTCACATATACAAATTGTAGGTATTCCCCCCTTGCTCTGTCTTGGTCCCTCTTTTCTTTTTTTTTTCTATAGTCTTTCACCAGCCCTCCTGGGTTCAATTTTCATGTCTATATAGATGATTCCCAGACCTAAATATCCAGCCCTAGTCTCTCTCCTGAGCTCCAGTCCAACATTACCAGTTGCCTATTACACATTTTGAACCGAATTTCAAATTCAACATGTCCAAAATAGAACTCGTTGTTTCCCTTCCCCAAAACCCACCCCTCTCCTGAGCTTTCCTTTCACTGTTGAGAAAGCACCATCTTTCCAGTTGCCCAGGTTCACAACCTCATTGTCATCTTTGACTCCTCATTCTCACTCGCCTCACATAAACAGTCAGTTGCCAAATTGCATAGTTTCTTTTTCCACAGCATCTCTAGAATATAACCCCTTGTCTCCACTCACACCACCACCACCACCTCAGGCCTTTTTATCACCTTTTGCCCGGAAATAGCCTTCTAATGCAACTCCTTGCCTCAAATCTTTCCCCACTCCAATTCATCTTCTACTCAGATGCCAAAGTGATTTTCCTAAAATACTAGTCTATACTAACCCTCTTCTCAATAAATTCTAATGATCCTCTATTATTTCTAGAATCAAATATAAACTCTTTGGCTTTTAAAGTTCTTTACAGCCTAGTTCCTTCTATGTTCTTACTTACTATTCCCTTCCATGTACTCTCCAATTTAGCCATACTTGCTATTTCTCACATACAAAGTTCCATCGCCTACCTCTGAGTCTTTGCATTGGCTGTGCACCATGCCTGGAATACCTTCCCTTCTTCTCTCTACTCACACAGTGACTACCCTAGTTCAGGTTTTTATCACCCCTTGCCTGGATTATTGCAACAGCCTCCTAATGCAACTCCTTACCCCAAACCTCTCCGTTCTCCAATCCACCATCCACTCAGATGCCAAGTGCTTTTTCCTAACATGCAGGTGTAACTGGGTTACCCTTCTACTCAAAATGCTTTTTCCATATGAGGAAACTGAGGCCCTGGGAGGTTGGCCATGATCATAAAACTAGTAATTTTTAAAGTCAGGATTTGAGCCCATATCTTCCTAACTCCAAGTCCACTTTGTCTCAAAGACTATTGTGTGTGTGTGTGTGTGTGTGTGTGTGTGTGCGCGCGCGCGTAGTGTGTGTGAGGGAGAGAGAAGAGAGGAAATAATGAGAGGCCAAATATGGCACAAGGAAAAGAGGACTGGACTTGGCTAGAATCCCGGGGCTCAAATCCAGGGCTCTTTCCTAGGTGAATTTGGGCAAGCCACTTTACCTTGTTTAGCCTCAGTCTCCTTATTTACCAAATGAGGGTTATAACTCCTGTAGTACCTATCTCACAGGGTTGTTTTAAGTGTAGTGCCTTTTCCCAATTGCACTTGCAGATTGAATTCTGTCCCCAGGGGGCTGACTGCTACTATCTTGGGTTCAAAGTGGATTCACACTCCTAAAACTATAGCTCACCAACTCCCAATAGTGTATTTACCTTTAAGTCAGTCAGCGAATACAATTAACTCAAAGAAAAGACATTTACTAAGATGATTATAAGAACAATACCTACTAAGATACCCCCCCATCATTTTGAGGCACACTTTCCCACAAATACACACAGCACCAGTGGGAAGACTGGGCTTATGTAGAGAGTATGCTGGTAGTGAGGTATACATGCAGAGAACACATATGGTCAAGGCAGCTAACTCATCTTAACCCTGCAGAGCCTTGGTGTACTTTTTTTTTCTCTTGGTATTCTCATGTTGCTCCCTCCTGGGTACCCCAACCCTCCTGGGCTTCCTGAGCCTTCTCTTATTTATAGTTCAACTTCTGACTTGAAGAGCTCATTCTTTCTTGAATGTATAGTTAGCTCTCTTCTCTTCTGCCAGAGCTCACATTCCTTTAAGAGCTTCCTCCACTTGTCTCTTGATTTTTTCTCCTTCCCTACTAGTTACGGCATTTCCTACTGGGCAAGTAGTTCTGCTACAAGACATCACGTCCAAGAGGGGAAAATGGAGACAAAAATTCCCTCCCCTTTCTGGTAGGAGGTCAGGAATCTCACTTCACAAAGCTGTTTTTCTTTCCTTGACCTTCTGGAGGACTGGCAAGCTTTTAAGGGCCAATCTTTGGCCGGCCAATGGCAAACTACTTCTATAATTCCATCTGGGAAACTTCTTCACCCTTTAACAGGGCATAGAAGACACATCTTCACATTTTCTTTATTGTATTAACATCTCCTCTTCTCTGTTATCTATTCCCTTGATGACAACAATAGCTAGCATTTATGTAGTACTCTATGGCTCAAAAAACACTTTATAAATCTTGTCATTTTATCCTGAAACAACCTTGGGAGGTAGGTGCCATTATTACCCCCATTTTACAGTTGAGGAAACAGGGAGAGGTTAAGTGACTTGCCCAGTCAATAAGTGTCTGAGGCTGAATTTGAATTCAGGTCTTCTTGACTCTAGGTCCAGCACTCTATCCACTGCAACACCTAGTGATTGCACCAGCTAGGCTGGGGTGGGAAGTGGGAATCCTTCACTGTATGAGGAAATGCTTCCTAAAGCTTAAAGTGCTATAGAAATGAGTTGTTATCATAACCTACCTGTTAAGAGAATCAAATGAGATCAAAAGAATTAGAGCTGGAAGAGATCCTAGAGGTCTTCTAGTACAGAGGGGTCAAACTCAGATAGAAAGGTATCCATGCAGGCTGCACTTAGAAAATCACAAGTTGACATTACCTATGTTGTATTGTATTTATTTATATTGTTACATTTATTTATTTTGGGCAGCAAGGTGGCACAGTGGATAGAGTGCTGGCCTTGGAATCAGGAAGACTTGAGTTCAAATCCAGCCTTAGACACTTACTAGCTGTGTGACCCTGGGCAAGTCATTTAACCCTGTCAGCCTCAGTTGCCTCATCTATGAAATGAGCTAGAGAAGGAAATGGCAAAACACTCCAGTATCTTTACCAAGAAAACACCAAATGGAGTCACAAAGAGTCCAACATGACTGAAATGACTGAACAGCAACATTTTGTTAAACATCTCTCAATTACATTTTAATCTGATTCTGGCTTTAAGGGAGTTTGACACCTCAGACTTAGTCAATCACCTTATTTTACAGATAACAAAACTTCCCAAAACTAAAAGAAGTTAAATGACTTGCCCAAAGTTACAAAGTATATAAGCGTAAGGGCTGGGATTTGAACCCAGATTGTCTGATTTCAAATCCAACAGTCTTCTGAGTGAAAGTGTTATTCCTAGTTGTTATTTTGGTCCAGCACCTTTCATACTGTAGTTGTAGAATGAATGAACAAGTAAATAAATGAATCAATGAATCAGAGGATGGTAGGAAACTGAGCACAAAATACAACTCTACAAATTAGAATTAGTTTAAAATTTCATCAACTATTTCCTGTTTTCCCTTAGGGAAAAGATTGTTCTTGACCACAAGGAATCAGGACTTAAAGTTGAGGCAGTTCCTAGTCTTTGAACTGTCCCCAGCAGAGATGAAGACTTTACCGATTCTGGGACAAGAATGCCGAAAAGGGTCAGCGCAATCCAGACAATGTCCTGAAAGGAAATCCTTGAAGCTGGCACAAGGGAAGGCCATCAGTGGACAGGGATCCTCCAAGGCACTGAGGTAGAGATGAACAGCTCTCATGTGATCACAAATCAGATAGTTGTAACCTGAACAGAAATATAAAAATGAGGTAACAGATGAAGGCAGATGGAAACTCCCCCTCTCCACCAACTGCCGGTAACTATCCTTCATCTCTAAATCGGCAAACTATAAGTATTCGGGACTTCCCTTACTGAATGAATTAATGAAGTAATGAAACATTACTTTGAATGTTAAGCAATAGGGACTGTACTGGATTTGATTTCCTTGTACCACGGGGCCACCCCACCCCAAGCATCCCTCCTCCCCCACAGCTTAATCTGAGCCCAATTCCTACACAATAGAATAGCCTATTCTTTAGAACACAAAAACAAACAGTATTCAGAGAGAGATCCCCAAGGGAAAGAAGGGAGGGAATAAACATTTATATAGCACCTACTTTGTGCCAGGCACTGTGCTAAGAACTTGACAAATTGTTTCATTAGAGCCTCACAACAACCTTTCTGTGAAGTAGGAGCTATTATTATCTCCATTTTATAGCTGAGGAAACTGAGGCAGACAGCGGTTAAGAGACTTGCCCAGGGTCACAAAGCTAGTAAGTGCCTGAGGCAGGATTTGAACTTACCATATTTCACTGAATAATAGCTGCAGATTTTATGCCAATTTTTTTTTTCGCAAAAAAGTAGGGTGCGACCATTATGTAAAGCTTTAAAATTGTGGCAGTATTACTTAAAAATCATTTCTTACTAAACTTTCTTTGGTGCAAGATTAAGATACACAGAATACTCGTGAATATATGTTAATATTGAGAAGATGCAATCTAATTATATCAGGTGACTTACTCATGGCAGTACACTGCCTCCCCTTGCTCCTACAGGTCTTCATTGAGTTGAGTGACAATAGTGTTAGTACTGCAGCGCTCTACACAAACCATGAAAGTTGCCTTTTGGAAATATACTGACAATTCACGTGGGCTGATAATTGTAGGCGCATGGCTTGCAGTGTGAGAAAGATAAATGCATATCCATATGCCACTGGTAAACACATTGTGGCTCTGTTTACCTTTTAAGCGGTATGATGAACAGAATTACAGTATTATGCAATGAAAGGCTATAAACCAATTTTTGGACTGGAAAAGAGAAGGTGGGATGATTACGCGGTGGCAACCATTATGCAGTAAAATATAGTAGGTCTTCCTGACTCCAGGCCCGTTCTCTGTGGGCTTAGTCATGTACCTGCCTAAAGCAGTTGAAGTTTCTAAAGGCCAACCACTGGTTTCCTGCCCTGTAGCTCATTGTATTTTGGGGAGTGTGGGAGGAGGGGGAGACTAGATTTACATTGGGAACTCAGGATGACAACTCCTTCTACCAATATGGATAGGCACCTTCTCAGTCATTTATAGTTTTAGAGGTGCCTGGGACACTGAGAGGTTAAGTGATCTAGTGATTGTGGAAAGTGAACCCAGGTCACACCCATTTGGAAGCCAGCCTCTTATACCCTAGGTCAAGCTGCCTCTCATTTGCAGAAAGAGCAAATGTGGTAAACCCTGGGAGAACCTGCCATGAAGAGTGAAAACGAGACATTCACTCTCAACTCCTGATTTGTATAACCTCAGATGATAGAAGGATGCTAGAGTGGGAATAGTGTTTGGAGATCTTTTCCTCCAGCTACTCTAACTTTACAAATGGTAAAACTCAGGCCTGATGAGGCTGGGAGATTTGCCCAAAAACAAACCCTGGTTTTGCAACTCCAAATCCAATGACTTTTTTCACTACACCATGCAAATGGTCTATATGACATTCTTCTTCTCTATTCTACCTAGGGAGAACTGAGGCCCTGGTAGCTGAGGAGTTAAAAGGTGGGCATGAAGAGGTGAGGTTGTTGTTTAGTTGTGTTCAATTCTTCATGACCCCATTTGGGGTTTTCTTGGCAGAGATACTGGAATGGTTTGCCATTCCCTTTTCCAGATCATTTTACAGATGAGGAAAGTGAGGAAACAGGGCTAAGTGACTTGCCCAGGACCCACAGCTAGGAAGTGTCTGAGACTAGATTTGAACTCAGAAAGATGAGTCTTCCTGACTCCATGCCCAGCACTTTATCCACTTTATCACCTAGCTGCCCTTTGGCAAGGTTACTGGAGTGGTTTTCCATTTCCTTCTCCAATGGATTAAGACAAACAGAGGTTAAGTGACTTGATCAGGGTCACATAGTTAGTAAGTATCTAAGGCTGGATTTGAACTCAGATCTCCCTGATGCCAGGCCCAGTGCTCTATCCACTGAGCCACCTAGCTGCTTCCTTTGCTTCTGATATATCCTATTTATGTAAATACAGGTAAGCATGAGTACTTGACTTCTTTGTCTCAGGCAACTCTCTAACGCTATTCCTTACAAATGATTTGTTGATTTGTGTCAGTAAAAGGAATTTCCCCGTGGGAGTGGGATTCCTTTCACCAATGAAATCAGAAGTCTAGACTGCCCCCCTGAAAAAATAATTGTATTATACTCATGGCTAACAGTTCGTAATAACTGTCCCCAAAGCAGGGAATGCTGTCCTATAGAGCCTTAAGAATAGGGCACCAAAGTGGGTTGTGAACCTCCTTTTTGGTTCTCTTCAGTATTTGTGCCCCTAAAATGCAAGGTGACTGATAAAGTGATCTCAAACTGGGCCTTCTGGACTTTTCCACTTCTTGGAGAAAGCGCTAAGGGGAGAGCAGCTGTCTGCCCATCTCGTTGGAAATTCTATGCCACTTTCTTAAAATGACTGTTTGTCACCCTGCAAAAAATGTCAAGTCTGCCACAGAGCACATTTTTATGTTCACCTTAGTCATCCACATAAATATTTCTCACTTCCCCACCCCCACAACCCAGCTGTCAGGCAACTGAGAAGCCATCCTACTCAGCTTTGTAGAGGATATCGTAAGTGCAGCTTAGCCAGAAATCAGGGCATTAGGGGAGAGAGGTGTTGCTGGCTTAGGTGATTCGTTAAAGAGTGGTTGGGGTTCTTAAAAACTGGGTGGGCACTCTGGATTGTAGCCCAGTCTCAAAAACACCTAGCTTTAGTCCTACCACCTAGTACCAGGCATCTGTTCAACATCCTCTATATTCTTCCATGTTCAAAATATCATCCTATACTATATCCAAAGGGCTATAAAACTGTGCATATCCTTTGATCCAGCAAGACTACTACTAGGTCTGTATCCCAAAAAGATCAAAGGAAAACAAAAAGGTCCTATATGTACAAAAATATTTATAGCAGTTCTTTTTGTAGTGGCAAAGAATTGGAAGTTGAAGGGATGCCCATCAATTGGGGAATGGCTGAACAAGTTGTGGTACGTGATTGTGATGGAATACTGTTGTTCTATAAGAAATGACGAGCACGATGATTTCAGAAAAACCTGGGAAGATTTATATGGACTGATTCCGATTGAAATGAGTAGAATAGGAGATCATTGTACATAGTAACAGTAATATTGTATGATGATTAATTATGATTGACTTAGCTATTCTCAGCAATACAATGATAAAAGACAATTCCAAAGGATTTATGATGAAAAATGCTATCCACCTCCAGAAAAAGAGCTGATGGAGTTTAAATGCAGGTTAAAGCTTTTTTTTTACTTTCTTTATTCCCCCCCCTTTTGAGGTCAGTGTTCTCTTTATGCAACATGGCTAACATGGAAATGCATAATTTATATCAAAATGCTTGCCTTCTCAAGGAGAAGGGAGGGTAGAAAGGGAATGAATTTGGAACTCTAAAACTGTAAAAAACAAATGTTTAAAATTGTTTTACATGTAATTGAGAAAAAATTAAATAAAAACATTCTTTAAAAAATATCATCTTTAAGTATATTAGACAATTTCAAAGGAAATTGTAGTCATCAGCCCATCAGATCTATAGGAGCGTATTCCAAGTCAACAGCACTTGTCAGTTATTTCCTGAGTTAAGACAAATTAAGGGGTGGCTAGGTGATGCGGTGGATAGAGTTCCAGCCTTGGGGTCAGGAGGACCTGAGTTCAAATCTGGCCTCAGATACTTGACACTTATTAGCTGTGTGACCCATAGTAAGTCACTTAACCCCAATTGCCTCACCAAAAAAAGCAAAAAAAAAATTTTAAAAAGAGAGAGCAAGTAAGTATAAGGCCCTCCTTTCTGTAGCTGCCTGACAGTTGAAAGAGCACTGGCTTTGGCATCAGGAGACCTAGCTTCAAATCCCACCTCTGATTTTCACCGCTTGTGTGACTTGGGGCAAATTGTTTCGCCTCCCTGGATCTCAGTTTCCTTATCTGTAAAATGAGGGGGCTGGGCTTGATAGACCCTGACATTCCTTCTAGTTTTTAATCTATGATGTTAGATGCCAATGTACCTGCATGAAAAAATGAGGGACATCCCGGTTGGTCTTGGCCTCCATTAACAAAGTAGTCCACGTGTCCTACCGGAATCCGGATACCCAGATCTGAAAGAAGTCAAAAGTCTATTAGCCTCTTTCTCTGGGGCCCAAAGGAGCTTCCATTTTCTCTGAGAGTTAGGGAAAGCAAACTTTAACTGAGCCTATCGCCAGACTCGAAAGTATATAGGGCAGGTTACATACAAGACGCTGGTTCTAGAGACAAACCAGCTGGGTCCCGATCCTGCCTATAACCTGTATGAACTCGGACAAGTCACCCTTCATTTCCTCATCCATAAAATGAGCAGTTTGGAGAAGACGGCCTTTGAGGTCGTTTCTGGCTCCAGGTGTAAGAACATATAGCAGAGTTCCACACTTTGCAGGACTTCAGCTTTCTGTAAATTTAAAAAATATGTGTATTTCCTGAGGTGTGCTAGAACTAACTTATGATAGCAAGTTGATAAATTTTCAGTGTGAGCTTTTACACTTCAGAAATGGGGAAATGCTACAAATCAAAGCTTGATGTATTGTTTTGCTAATTACTCAGACTTAAGGAAGTGATAGAGAAGTCACATGAGGAACAATACGGAAGACTAGACATTTTCTCTTATCCCTCATGTTCTCTCAAACTTTTATAAAACAGAGATTATGCGCCAAAAATAAAGTAATTTCAGCTGTCTTCATGGCCTAGGATGCCTAGAATTCAAAAAAAGGTAAAGAAAAACATGAAGAGAAACTTACTGTTCCTGAGCTTACTCAGCATACCTTCCCTGCCTCCCATGCTATGGTGATGGGCATCAGGGCTGCACTATCAAACCCCAAAACCTGACACATGGATCTGGGCTTGGAGCAAAACTGAACCCTACACCCCAGTCTTTCCTCCCTCTTTCTGGTGTTATTGAGACCCTTGGTCTGGCTACAGAAGTTTTCTCAGGCAACAACAGAAAGCCAGTGTCATAGACAGCGGCCCTTCGGGAGTAAAAATCATGCTGGGGGACACAACCCCATAGCACCTGCACTGCAAAGCTCTGAACTGCCACTGTGGAAGTGTACAATTTCATAGTACCACCAGTAAAACAGCTCTCTGAACTGCCAAGAGGAAGCATGAGAGGATATGAGGACCAGACACTCTGTGTAAGAAGAGGATATGTAGCCCTCCAGTAAGACTATGGGGAAAAGCACAGCATCCAGCTGGGGATGGTTCTGACAACCAAAAGTCATTTGGGACAGAGACTTACACTGGTGAACTGTGAATTGCCCAATATGGAAAGAGTCTAAGATGTTTTGACATCCAGCCACCAAAGAAATCACCCTCAAAGGGGAGAGAGTCAGAAAGTGAGTGATAGGGAAAAATAAGGGGGAAATGACCAAGGATTTTGGGAAGAAGAAAACTCAAAGACTTTGAACATAAACAGAAAAATCAACAGGGAAAACATTTACAACACAAGGAAACATGTTCTCCAGATCTAATAAATATGTTTTAGGCATCTATAAATAAGTACTGCAAAACAAAGGAAAATGATCCAATACTTGATTAGACAGAAGACCCTATGGAATCCCAACACACTGTTTCTGAGCACTTCAAGAGCAAAATGAGAATTATAAGAGCAGCAATTATGTCCTACACTTCAAAAATAATGAACAAAGTAAAAAAAACTAGAATCTGCAATGGCAAATCTCACTAAAGAAACAAATGAGAAAATAATAGATTGGGAATGAAAAGAAACAAAAGTAAAGGACAATCTAGAAGAAGAGAAGCAAAAAACAATAGCATTAAAAGCAAATATACTCACTATGCAAGCAAAACATAATAATATCAAAGATGGGATGTGCAGATACAACCTAAGGAACACAGGTCTCTCAAAAGAATACAACAGAACCACCACCCCCACAACAACAAAAACCTTAACACCATAATGTAGGAAATAATAGAGGAGAATTACCTAGAACTTCTGAACATGGAAAATGAAATATCAATTGAAAGAATTCACAGATTATTTCCAGAAAAAAAATTTAACAATTCAATTCAGAAACTACAAGTTCCATCAGGAAAAAGACCTTCAAATACAAAGGAAAGGAGATTTGAATTAAACAAGACTATTTTGTACTCACCATAAAATATAGGAGGGAATGGAATAATGTGCTCTGAAGAGCAATGGAGCTCAGGATTCAGAAAAATCTGAGTTTAACCATACATGAAAAAAAGATGGATGATCAATAATAAAGAGGTTTGGAACATTTTTCAAAAGAAAATTGGAACTGAAGATATTAATTGCTTCTGAAACACCCCAAACAGAGATGTAAGAGGAATGAATAAATATAGCAGCCAAAGATAGCAGCAACAACAAAGTAACAGCAGAGAGACCAGTATGTACGCAAGGAGACAAAGATGAAAGCGTAAGTCCTGTGGAGGTAACAGTGAAGACATAGGCCTAAGGCTTTATGGATAGAAACCTGGCAATATGCTATCTACCAGTGAATGAGTTTTGGGTGGTTTTTTTTTTTTTTTTTTTTTGTGGGAATACATAACAACATGGGAGGGTACATGAAATGGGGAGAAGTAAGCAGAGGAACAGAGTGGAGTATGTGATATTCCCCCTTCAAATCTAGGGCTAACAATGAGGGGAAGGTGACCTTTAATGTCTCAGAAAGAGAAAAGCTTACAGGAGAGTGGGAAGAGGAAGAGGAAAGGATTAAAAAGTGAGAGAAAGGAAGGGAACCTTGCTTTAGCAATGGTGGCCACTGATGAATGCTTCTATAGGTGAAGAGAGATGGTCTGTGAAGGGAGATGGAGAACTTATGCTGGATGTGGCCTCAGGAATTTGTGCTTGAAAAGTCTACTTGACCCACTTCGGGAAGAGGAAAGTTGGAATTCCTAGGGGCAATTAGCCCCAGAGTGGGAAAGCATGGACCCAGGGAGGAGACCTAAGGAAAATGGGGAAAGAAAGGAAACAAGGAAAAGGTATAGATAAGGGTGGGCTGAATAATCAGAGACATGGTTCAGGAAGAGCCCTGTTATAGGGAAGTGTCCTCCTTGTTACCTGAAATAACTGGCATTGTTCTGGGAGTGAAGTCCAGTGGAAAAGGAGGATATACAAGACAAACTCTTTAAGGCAGTGGCACAAACTGCCTAACAGGAAAAACTCAGAATGGTTACCTTGGAAATTTTGACTGCATTAGGAATACAGAGAAAAGAGAGAGACCAGATAATTATAGGGGTCATGAGTCAGAGAATGAGGGTTAGAGCAGACAGGAAAGGACGGACAATGAAGAGAATGAAAATCCTTTTGGAAAGGGATAGGAAAAAGAAGAGGAGAGAGGAGAAATCTACTTATCTAGTTGAGAGAGAAAAAAGAAAAGAATATAATCAGATAAAAGCAGGAGAAAAAGAGGAACTAAAAAGAAAAATTCCAAAGGGAGAGGGGAAATGAATGAGAAGAGAGTCAGTAGAAATAGAGTTACCTTAAAAAAGATTAAGGTAAAATAATGGAAGGAACATAATACAGTGTTTGAAGGAGAGGAGGGAAAAATCATAACTTAAAAAAATATTATAGACAGATGGAGGAAAATACAAACTTCTCATAACTTTAAATGTGAATGGATTAAACAATTCAATAAAATGAAAAAGAATGACAAATTAGATAAGAGAAAAAGGTTACAATTTGTTACTTACAAAACACATATTTAAAAAACAAAGACATACACAAAATGAAACTGAGGGAATGGAAAAAAAATTACTATGCATCAAGTGAATCCAAAAAAGCAGGATTTACCATCATGCTATCTGACAAAGCAAAAACAAAAATTCAAAAAATAGAAAGGGATAAAATGACATTTTGCTGAAATGAACCATAGACAACAAACCAGTATCAGTAATAAACTTATATACTTCAAATGCCTTAGTGTCCAAATTTATAAAGAAAATGTTATTTGAGCTACAAGAAGACATAGACAGTAACACAATAATGACAGATGACTTTAATATTCCTCTCTCTATTTTGGATGAGTTTAAAAGAAAGATAAATAAAATGGGAAATATGGAACTGAACAAATTCCTAGAGAAACTAGAATTAAAAGACTTTTAGCATCTTCTAAATAAGACAGTAAAAGAATATATGTATTTCTTAGAACTGCATGGAAGTTTTTTTTTAAATTGATCCTTTTATTCCCCAAACCCTACAAAGTATAGGCATAGAGGAACCTTTTTTAATTTAACAAAAATCATCTATCTAAAACTAAAAGTAAGCATCATACATAATGGATATGCTAGAACCTTTTGCAGTAAATATAGAAGTGAAGCTAGGATGTCCAGTCAATATAGTTCTCAAAATTCTAGCAACAGCAATAAGAAAAGAAAGAAAAGAAATTAAAAAATTAAAAATAAAAAAATAAGCAATAAGAAAAGAAAAAAGAAATTAAAAAATAAAAAATAAAAGAAAGAAATTAAAGACATAAAAATAGGTAAAGAGGAGATAAAACTATCCGCATTTGCTGATGACATCATGGTTTTCTTGGAACCACAAAGATACTAATTGAGACAATTAATAGCCTCAATAAAGTTTCAGACTACAAAATAAACCCTCAAAAATCACATCTTTTCTATATAATAATAGTAATAATAAAAAAACTAAAGAAAAAATAATAGAAAGGGAAATCCCATTCCAAATAACAACATAATGCATAAAATCTCTGGGGATCAACTCACCAAAGCACATAAAAGGCTTGAATAAATTCAATTGCAAAGTGCTCAATAAAGAAATAAAGAAAAACTTAAATAGCTGGAAGAATGTTCAGCGCTTACGGCTAGGCTATGCCAATATAATAAAAATGACAGTACTACCACAGTTAATTTACATTTTTAATGCTACACCAATCAAAATACCAAAGGGCTACTTTATAGAATTTTATAAAATAATAACAAAATTCATTTGGAAAAACAAAAGATCTAGAATATGAGAGGAAATGATGAAAAAAAAGTAGAGATGAAAGGAGAATAGCACTTTCAGGACTCAAACCATTTTATAAAGCTTGTTGTTGTTTAGTTGTATCCAATTCTATGTGAAGATACTGGAGTGGTTTGCCATTTCTTTTTCCAGTGTGTCCTCATTTTACAGATGAAAAAACTGAGGCAAATAGGGGTTAAATGACTTGCCCAGGATCACACAGGTAGTAAGTGTCTGAGGTCAGATTTTAACTCAGATTTTCCTGACTCCAGGTCCAGTGATCTATCCACTACACCAGCTAGTTGCCCATTTTATAAAACAGCAATCATCAAAACCATCTGGTATCAGTTAAAGAAAAAAGAGACAGATCAATGGAACTGACTAGACAAGAGAGAATCAGAACTCAAAAACCTAGTGTTTGGTAAAATGGAAAATATAAAATACCTGGGGAAAAACTCCTTATCTGATAAAAAAAACTTCTGGGAAAATTAGAAATCAGTCTGTCAGAAATTAGGCTTAGCTCAACACCTTACACCATATTCCACAATACATTCTAAATGTATACACAACCTTGATATTAAAGATCATACTATAAAAAAGTTCAAAGAAAAACAGATTTATACTTCTCACAACTATGAGTAGGAGATATATACTTAACCAAATAAGAGATAGAGGCAATTACAAAAGATAAAAGAGATAACTGATTACTTAAAACTGAAAAGCTTCTGCACAGTCAACATTAAGTCAGCTAGAATGAGAAGGGAAGTTGTCAAAAAAGAAAAAAAATCTTTGAATTAAATTTCTCTGATAAGGGTTTAGTATCTAAGATATATGAACAATTAATAAATATATAGAAGACTAATAGCTATTTTCCAATAGATAAGTGGTCAAAGGATACGAACAAACAGTTCTCCAGAGAAGAATTGCAAAGTATTCACAATCACATGAAAGAATGCTCTAAATCACTAGTAGTAAGGGGAATGTAAATAAAAGTAACCCAAAGGTTTCACCTCATACATGAAAATTGGGGAAAAAAATGACCCAAAAAATGACAATAGTCAATGTTGGAAGGGTTGTGAATTACTACAGTAATTCATTTTTGGTGAAGCTATGAAATGGTGTGACCATTTTGGAAAACAATTTGGAATTATTCAAATAAAGTGATTTTAAAAGTCCGTACCCTTTGAACCAGAGACTCTATTACTACATTGATAAGAAGAAAGTTCTTATACACATCAAATATTTTTAGCAGCACTTTTTGGGATAATTAAGAATTAGAAGGGGCAGCTAGGTGCACAGTGGATAGAGCTTGGGGCCTGGAGTAAGGAAAACTCCTCTTCCTGAGTTCAAATCTAGTCTCAGATACTTACTACCTGTATGACCTTATCCAAGTCACTGAACTTTGTTTGCCTCAGTTTCCTCATCTGTAAAATGAGCTGAAGAAAGAAATGGCAAAGCTACTCCAGTATCCTTACCAAGAAAACCCCTAGAAGGAGTCGTGAAGAGTTGGAAACAACTGAATACAACAATAGCAAAAGAATTGGAAACAAAGGCCCATTGACTGGGGAATGGCAAAACAAATTGTGGTACATGAACATAATGGAATATTACTGTGTTGTAAGCATTGATGTGTGTGATGAATACAGAGAAGCATGGAAAGATCTGCATGAACTGATGCACTGATTAAGCTGTCAAGAAAATAATATACACGACTACAATGTAAATTAAAAAAACACACACACCAAAAAACCCAAAAGTAAATGTAACAAAATTATAAGAATCAAACAGGACTCAATTGAAGAGATATCAGAGAACACCCCTCCAAACCATTCCTTCATAGAAGTGCAGGGTCCACAGATGTTACACATTGTACATGTTTTCAGACTTTTTCAATGTATTAATCAGTTGTGCTGATTTTCTTCCCTTTAAAAAAAATACTAGTTGTTACATGGGATGCAATTCTGGGAGGGATACTTGGGATAACTATCATGATAAGAAACAGAAGATATCAATAAAAACTTATTTTTTAAAAAGTATTGGAGAAAATGTTAACAGTGCAGATTAATTTTTAAAATATGTTGACCATACTTTTTTTTTTCCTAAATAGCCAGTTAAACATTTACCAGCATACTGGCAGATATTTCCATGCTTAGATAAAGCAAAGGACATGCTGTTAAAAGCCACTTTCCTTGACTATTATTTCCTATTCCTTTTCTGATTTTTCAATGAGATGTTTATGGATCAGTTGCATGCTTGTGGGTAATTCCCACACAGAGGGACAACTAGAGTATATTTCCACATCGTTTCATCGAATCATTTACAGGTAGAAGGCGCCAACTTATCTCTCACTCCCAAATTTACAGATGAGGAAACTAAGCTCCCAGAAGTTGTGATTCACACAAAGTCACAAAGGTAGAGCTAGAACTTGAAGTCATATCTCCTCACTCCAAATCCAAATACAGCACTTTTTCCATTTTAGTATAATTTTTGTCAACAGTCTACATTTCAATGTTCACATTGACATTAGGACATGATTTGGCACTGGAAGGAGAGGTAAGACACCTCAGAGATCATCTAGTCCAATCTCCTCCTTCTATAGCTGAGGAAACTTGAGATTAAAAAGGGGAAATGTTTTGCCCAAAGTTAATCCCTTCCACCTCGAAATTTGATGATTCTCCACTGCCAAGAAGGGTGGGGAGTGTGGATCAAAGTCAAGAGGGTGGTTTCCCTGGAGGCCAGTCTTGATGTGCCCCATGGATGCCCTCTCTACCCACTGCCCAGAGAGTTGCCCTAGCAATGCCTTTGCCTGGAGACTCCTGTTGTTTACTGCCTCAACTAACTGAGGAGTGGAGGCTCAGGTGCTGTCATGAGATTCACTTTAACTGATCACACATTTAGTGCCTACTACATTGGTCAGAGTTGGAGGGGTTACTCCAACTCCTTGTATGTTGATGTATAGAACTGGAAATTATTTTTATCTTCACTCCTTTATTCCTCCTCCCAGAAAGGAAGGGTAAGAGCTTTGGAATAAAAAAAATTTTTCTTAAAAAAAAGTTGTAAACAGCAGAGCAGAGATTCTTCTCCAATGCTCTTCTGCCTACATTCAGAGCAGTTGAAAGAAGTGGATGCAAGGGTCTAGAATAGTAAGAGACTTCATCCTTAGAGTAATAATCATCATTGCTGCCCAGACCTTTGCATCCTTTGCTCCCTGGTGTGGTATCCTGACAATGACTTCTTTCAGATACACCAGGAAGAGATATCAGTTAATATCCAACAGAATGTTAACTCTTTGAGGAAAAAATCTGTTATCTTTGTCCTTGTATTCTCCAGTAACTTGTACACAGTAGCACTTAATAAATTCTTCTTGAATGGAGTTGAGCTATGAAATATGTGCCTGGGAGGTGAGAGCCCTTGATGAAATAAGTGAGTAGTTGATAAATCACCTATTTACTAAATTTAGGGAAAGAAGGGCTTGTCCACTTGGCAAAATAGAGGGGCTGGGTTGGGATCAATTCCTTTATCTATACAATGGTGGCATGGGAGTAGTTGATCTCTAAGGACCTTCCCAGTTCTAATATTCTCTGGTATTAAGTTATTATTTTTTCATCAGAAGAGAAAGAAATTCAAACTCCCATCTTTTGGGATCAGGGATGGGAATGGAAATAATGAATAATACTCCCATATTTTGTTCCCTACCAGTACAGATCTAATTTATTTAGTGCTTAGGTAGGCAATCGTGGCTACCATGGTAGCACTATGGCAGCCAATCATTTTTCCCCAATCCCAAACCTGTGATTTCACCAGGACTTCAGCTTGGAAACATGCTCCAATGATCCAGATGGGCAACATATCCGTACACGACCATCTTAGAGAGTTGTCTGGGGTACTCAGAGGTTAAGTCACTTGTCCGGGGTCATATATCCAGCATGTGTCAGAGGCAGGATTCCAAGGCTAGCCCTCTCTTCACTATAGCATGTTGCCTCTAAGCAATTCACTGTGGAGGATACAAATCACCACTCTCTTCCCTGGAATCAAGGCCTGAGCTCATTCTTTCAGTGAGTGTCTTGGTGACACGGGAGGCTGATGTGTTGATGGAATCCCCCAAACCACAGAATCCATGAAAAGAGAAAAAGCAGTGACATTCTAAACATACTACGCCTGCTCTCTCTCCTTTTCCCTCCCACTTAAAAATAGCAGCACAGGGTTTGGGCGTGAGTCAGAAAGCAAGAATTCCAAGGAAACATTTCTAATCTGTGAATGAGAATATTCCTTCCCACTGAGAGCTAAAAATAAAAGCATTAGCTTCAGTCATTAGAGAATTTTAAAGCTGGAAGGCACCTTAGAGATCATCTGGTCCAATCCTGTCCTTCCCTTCCATTTAACAAATGAGGAAACTGAGACCCACGGAGGTCAAGTGACTTGCCCTAGGTCACAGACCTAGTTAGTAGCAAAATCATAGCCAGTGCTTGGTTCTTCTGGGTTTTCTCCCCCACTATACTTACCTGAGAGCAGAAGAAGGAAAGAGTCCACAACTTACTGTCTGTGTCTGTGTGGATGGCTTCCACAAATAAAGCATCCCCAGGATCCAGTCTTTCTTCCAGGCTGGCTTTAGTGTACTCTGGACCTGCAGGATCCAGGCCTGCAAATGAAAGCACTGATTTCAGAAACACCTTCCCCTGCCACAAGTGGAAGGCCATCTGGAAACCATGATTGGTGTAGCTTCTAGAGCTATGCATGTTGGGTCCAAGAAGTTGAATGTTGCTTTCTTGCAGATTGTGGCGGATGCTGATGAAGACTCAGTGAGGACAGCTGAGAAGATAACTATAACTAGGTTGAGGAAACTAGGGTAGCACTATCTAGGGCCGAAGATTTAAAGGGGATCCATAGCACTGTCCTGGAGATGCTTCCTTCCCTTTTCACCCCACCCTGAAGAAGTGTCCCATTGGACCCCACCCCAAGGAATTCCTCGGAGCCCATTGAAAAACAGCTAATTATTGTTTGGGAGAGAACTAGTTTAGACTTAAACTTACTTCAGATACTCCTCCCTTCCCCTTTTTATTAAAATTAATTTGGGGAGGACCTAAGTTCAAATCTGACCTCAGACACTTGACACTTACTAGCTGTGTGACCCTGGGCAAGTCACTTAACCTCAACTGCCTCACCAAAAAAAAAAAAAAGAGTAAAATTAATTTGGGGCTCTTGTTGGCTCCTGTTTTTCTGTATCTATAAAATTAGAATGACTTAAACCACCACTTAATAAGAATAATGTCACATTTTATGTAATCCTTTAAGGTTTGCACAGCGTTTTCCTCATAATAGCCCTGGAATATAGAGTATTAAGCACTAATCTTTCCATTTTATAGATAAAGAAACTGAAATTCAGAGAGGCTGTGATAAAGCTTGCTAGTGAGTGCCAAGGAGTCAAACCTAGATCTTCTGAATACAAGTTCAGCTCTCTTTATAGGATTTTGAGCTAAAAGGGCCTAAGAGATGTAGTCTAAGCCCATTATTTTGCTAAAAAGTTAACTGGGGCCTAAAGAGTTTAAGGAACTTGACTATAGAATGTAAGTGCTTTGAGGGCAAGAACTAGGTCATTTAAAAAACCTTTGTATCCCCAGTGGTGCCCTGCACATTTTGTTGTTGTCAAGTCCTACTCTGTCTGATCCCATTTAGGGTTCTCATGACAAAGATACTGGAATGATTTGCCATTTCCTTCTCCAGCTCAGTTTACAGAAGAGGAAACTGAGGCAAACAGGGTAAAGTGACTTGCCCAGGATCAGAGGCCAGATTTGAACTCAGGAAGATGAGTCTTTCTGCTTCCAAGCCCAGTGCTCTTTCCATTGGGCCACCTAGCTGCCTTGCACATAGTAAGCACTTAATAAATGTTTGTACAATTAAATGGCCCAGGTTACATAGGTCACATGTTTCAGAGCCCTGATTCTAATGCAGGTTCTCTGACTTCAAATCCTGGGTTCTTCCTATGACATGCTCCTAGACCACAAAGATTGATAAAACAGTACTAGTGAAGACGTTTAGTGTTGTGGGACAGAACACCAGCTCTGGAGTCAAAGGTATTGGGTTCAAGCCTCACTACTACCTGTGTGATCTTAAGCAAGTCAGTAAGACTCCCTGTGCCTTAGTTTTCTTGGATCTAAAATGAGAGTCTTAGACTGATGAGAATCTTAGACTGATGGCTTCTGAGGTCGCCTCCAGCTCTAAATGAGCGATCCTGACAACAATTGCAGCTTTCCATATGATAATATTTATATACAGGTATACACACATATATCCTACATAGGTATACATGTATGTGTGTATGTATATAATAAAAATACATAGACATATACATGCTATATATACATATATGTATGTGTGTGTACATTTTTTTTTTACCAGTACTATTATTTCATCAGTGTGGGAAGCTCCCAATGAAAAACTCCTCTACCAATAGAGATCAACACCTTTGCTGCAACTCAAAATCTTAGAAAGTTGCCAGAGGCATCAAGAGGTTAAATAATTTGCCCAGGGTCACCAGGTCTTCCAGACTCCAGGGCCAGCCCTCTAATCTACCAAGCCATATTGGTTTATGTTGTTATATAATACGATAACATGGTTTCAAAAGGGATTATTAGTTTAAACTTAGCAATGTGTTATTATAATCTCTTCTCCTTACCTCAGCCATATTCAGGGCTGTTAGTACTGTCTGTCAGGCAACAAGCATGTATTAAACACCTACTATGTGTCAGGCTCTGTGCTAAGCACTGGGAATACAAAGAAGGGTAAAAGACAGTCTCTGTTTTCAAGGAGTTCACAGTCTAATGGGACTGTTTCTAAACATCGAGCGAATGACCCAAAGCCAAAATAGAATATTATTACCTGTTATCCTTCCCAGCTGGCCTTTATAGAAATATCCTACCATTCCCCCAACATGTGCTCCAAGGCTGACCCCAATGATGTGGATAGATGACTCTGACACACCAAGCGCCTGGAATGGGATATCTAGAATGAGCTGGCCAAGTCAAATCAGGCCTCACTAACTCAACACAGATCACAAGTACTTCTTCAGCTAGTCCATACCCTTGGAGATAAAACACTGCAGCCAAACTCTAGGAAGGCTTCATTATCTGAAGTGTTAATACCCCCAATCCCTGCCCTATGCCCCCCCACCTCACCCTATACATAAGCAATTCTATTTGTGTCTTACCAGTAGATTGCTGATGAATTGGGAGATTTCCAGACCGAGTTTTATCACATTGTCCACAGCTGAGTAATAAACACCCGTGGATCCATAAACCCAGTCTACTGCAATCACGTTTACATCTGCCACACGCAGAAGAGTCTGGATGAATTTATCGATCCAAGATGGCTTGGTTCCTAATGCCCTATGGGAGGTGGTAAAAAGAAATAAAAGAAACACCTTCCTTCCAAGCTGGGACCCATTACAGGATTGATTACATTACAAGGCCTCAAACTGAGGAAGAAAAACAGTAGATAAGGTTAGTTTAAAGATGAAGATAAGGTAGGAGGTTAGTATAGAGCACAGCAGTGCTTGGTAAGATTTGAACTCAAGAAGAAGAGTCTTCCTGACTCCAGGACCAGCTCTCTATCTACTATACCACCTAGTTGTCTTTACATAGGAGACACTCAGTGCAAATGCCAGGTGAATGAATTTGTATTCTACTGCTGATAAAGATTCGAATTTCTCTTAATCATCCCTCATCTGAGTCCAGACCCCATGCTCTATCCACTGTGCTACCTAACTAGGAGGCACAGTGTCTATCCACACAGAGAATGGAGTATGGAAGATCTGAATTCAAATTCAGCCTTAGACACTTACTACCTGTGTGACCCTGGGCACTTAACCCTATTCATCTCAGTTTCCTCATTTGTAAAATGATCTGGAAAAAGAAATGGCAAACCGCTCCAATATCTTTGCTAAGAAAACCTTAAATGGGGTCACAAAGAATCAGATACAACTGAAACAACAATAATCCCTCATCTAGCAAATAAGCCCTTTTCAGTCTCCAATCTCCCTTTCTAGCCTTATACATTATTCCCCTTCACACACTCTGTTGTCCAGCCTAATTGGTTTTCTTGCTGTTCACATAAAGTATGCTCTCTCCCACCTTTGTACTAATTGTTTCTCACACCCTCCTCCCCTCCACCACTTAGAGTTCTGTAGCTTATTTCCATACTCAGCTCAAGAGCTACCTTGTACTTGAAGCCTTTCCTGATCTCCCCAGTTGCTAGTGTCTTGATCAAATTTGTAAATTTGTCTTGAGAAATTTGTAAAAGCGCATGGCACAGTGCCTGGCACATAGTAGGCATGTAATAAATGCTAGTTCCCTTCCCCTCTCCCCCCTCAAAATATTTTGTATATATCTTTATCTACCACGTAATCTTTTTTTGGTGCATATATGTTTATTCTTTTTTTATAGAATTAATTTATTTATTTTTAGTTTTCAACATTCACTTTCATAAGATTTTGAGTTTTAAATTCCCCCCTCCCTGTCCTTCCACTTCCTCAAGACGGTGTGCAATCTGACATAGGCTCTATTTATGCATTCATATTAAGCGTATTTTCACATTAGTTGTGATGTAAAGAAGAATTAGAACTAATGGGAGGAACCATGTGAAAGAAGAAACAAAACAAAACAACAAAAGAAAAGGGGAGCAAATAGTATGCTTTGCTCTGCATTCAGACTCCATAGTCCTTTCTCTGGGTGTGGATAGCATTTTCCATCGTAAGTCTTTTGGAGATGTCTTAGATCCTTGCACTGCTGAGAAAAGTTAAGTCTATTGAAGTCAGTCATTGCACAGTGTGGTTATTACTGTTGTACATGTAATCTTTCTGAATAGAATGCAAGCTCCTTGAGAGCAGAGACTGTTTCATTTTTGTCTTTTTATGCCCAGCACAATGGCTGGCACATAGTAGGTACTTACCAAGTACTTATTGATTGACTGTCTAAAAATGATACAGAAATAATACTGATAGTAAATTACAGTTGGAAAAGAGTTTTTATACATATCATATTACTTGATCATGACAATTTTTCTATGTTAGATGGGACAAAAATTATTATCCCCATTTTACAGTTGAGAAAACAAGGCCCAGAGACACAAACTCAGAGCAGGGTTGTATCTGAGCCAGCTCTTACCAGCCTGAGTGATTCATTAACTTTTCAGTGTGAGCATTTACACCTTGGAAATCGGCAAATGCTACAAATCAGGGCATGATTTATTGTTTTGTTGATTGTCTAAACCTCAGGAAGTGATGGAGAAAATGTTAACAATGCAAATTAAACTTAAAAGTTCGTCATGTGGTTTTGAGGGGAGGATCAGTTAAACACCAACACATCCCTGCCTCAGAGGCCATCTAGTTCAGCCAGAACCTGGTTGGGATTCCTGAGGCACTTTTTGTTAGAATGTTTTTCCTTATATTGAGACTAAATCTACATCTCTGCCATTGTAACCATTGCTCTTAGTTCTGCCCTCTGGGGCCGTGCTAATCCTTCTTTCACAGGAAAATCCTTCCAATATTTGAAGATGTCTATCATGTGTTCTAAGGCTTTTCTTGTCCAGGCTGAGCAGCTCCAGGTCCTTCCATCAGTCACTACACAGCATGATCTTAAAGCCCTTCAGCATCCTGGCCACCTTCTTCAGGACACTTTCCAGGACAGATTAAGTGACTTACTTATTGTGATACAGCTAGTGAGTAAAGAAGCTAGAACTAACTTCTAGGCCTTCTGCATAGCTCAAAAGAAGGATTAAACTTGGAGCCAGGAGAACTAGTTCTGTTTCTGCCATTATTCTGCTATATAACCTAGGGTTGGTCATTTTGGTGTCTTTATCTATAAAATGAGGCAATTTGATTAGATGATCTCCACAGTCCCTTCAAGCTCTAATTATCAGTGATTATCTAAGTTCTAATCAGAGGTGTGCTGCAGACAGCTCAAACTGAGAGGTAATTATTAAATTTTCCATGAAAGCATTTATACCCAAGTAATAATTCTAAAAAGTATGTGTTCATATATTTTCTCTTGGAGAAGCTGGTTGTTGAACATTTACCAACATAACTGTGTATTGGTCCATAAACATTGCTTGAGCTTAGCAGAAGTGCAGTAAAAGTTTCAGGGAACTAAGTTATCACTAGACTGGAGGTTTGGTGACTGTAAGCTAATAATAATAATAATAGTAATAATAATTTTAATAACTACAACTGGCATTTCTATAGCTCTTTAATGCCCCTATTTCTAGTCCAATGCTTTTTCCACTATGCTGCAGCAGCATTAAAGGGGATCATACTCCTCTAGAATAATGAGAATGAGACCTACAGAACAAGTAATTATCAGAGAGCCTGTTGAAACTTGGGGTCAAGAAAGGTCATCTATAGAAGGTGGGTTTTTAACTAACCCTTGAAGAATGTTGGGGAAGGTAAGAGGTGAAGATGAAAAGGGAAGGAAAATGAGAAGACTGGGATGGTAGGAAAGAACTGGATTGTGAAGGGCTTTAAAAACCAAACAAAAGAGTTTATATTTGATCCTGGAGTTAATAGAGAGACACTGAAGTTTATCGAGTTTGGAGGGGAGGGAGGTGGTGGTGATGGTATCATACCTGAAAAATCACTTTGGAAAATTACTAAGGCAGATGATTGGATGGAAGAAATCTTTGAGATTATCTAATCCAACACCCCCATTTTATAGTTGAGGAAACTGAAACAGAAAGGGTATATTACATGTAGCTTTTCAGGAAATGGTAATATATGTATGTGTATATGTATAAAGCACTGTTCAAATTTTGAGTATCTGAACAGGTAATCAGTCAGTCCACTCCCTCTTCTCTCTAACCTTTTCCCATTGTATTTTTTTTGGGGGGGTGAGGCAATGGGGTTAAGTGACTTACATAGGGTCACACAGCTAGTTAAGTGTTACATGTCTGAGGCTGGATTTGAACTCAGGTCTTCATGACTCCAAGGCTGGAGCTTTATCCACTGCACCACCTAGCTGCCCTCCATTATATTTTCATGGTACCATTGAGCACAATACTACTTATTATCACATAACAATGTGAGCTCTTTAGGGAGCTCCTGTTGACCTCTTTGTTCTTACCTGAATCCATGGATAATTAACTTGGTTTCCAGAGAGGTGTTGAATCCAAAATTCTGAAGGTCACTACTTTCTCTTACCAGCTTCCCACAGCTAGGATCCAAAGGAGTGAAGAAGAGGAATTGGACATTGAGGTTGGTGCCCCGTAGAAAATTGGCATTCTGAAAGTCAGAGCATTTCTGATGTGCAAGGGGAAGCTCATGACCTATGGAAGAGAACCAAGGAATTTAAAAGTTATTTATTTATGCTTTAGGAGACAAAGAATAAAGGGTTATACGTTGGAGGTTTACATTCTCTTTTTAAATTTGTAAATAGTAGGAATTTGATCATTATCAACAAACATTTCTCTACACAAAAAGAAATATGAAGTATAGTTTTTAAAAGTATAAAATAAATTCAATATATTAATTCCAAAGCTATCTTGCATACCTGTGTCTCCCTCTGAACTTCTTTCTATTCTCTCTGTGCCTTATTTTTTAAAAACTTTTTTTTGGCATTTTTCTTTGTTTTCTTTTCCTTTTTTGGGGTTGAGGAGCATCACTATCACTTCTCTCTTCTGCCCCCAAAAAAGCCTTCCCTTGTAACAAATAAGTATCATCAAGCAAACTAATCCACAGTGTGCATCTCACTCTGCTCCCCTGGCAAGCACATCATCTTTTCATCAAGGGCTGGGCAACATGCCTCATCATCAGTCGTCTGGAATCATAGTTACGGAATCATTGATCAGAGTTATTAAGTCTTTCAAACTCACTCTATTTTACAATGATGTGGTCTTTGAATAAATTATTCTTTTGGTTCTGCTCACTTCACTTTGTATCAGTTTATACAAGTTATTTCATATTTCTCTGAATCCATTCCTTTTACCATTTCTTACAGCACAATAAAATTCCATTAATTCATATACCACCATTCATTCAGCCATCCTCCCTAGGTGATAAGCACACACTTTGTTTCCATTTCTTTTCTACTGCAAAAATGCTGCTGTGAACATTTTTGTTCATATGGATCTACTTCTTCTTTCTTTGATCTCTTTGGGTTATTGGCCTTAGTGGTATTGCTGTGTCAAAGGGCATTCAATGTTCATGGCTTATGATTTTTAAGGTATAGTTCCAAGTTGCTTTCCAAAATGATTGGATCAATTCATGGCTTCCACCATCAGTGTATTAGTGGTCTCTTCCTCCTATATCCCTTCCAGCAGCTTCCATTTTCCTTTTTTTTTTTTAAAAATCATTTTGCCAACATGATGGGTATGAGGTGGAGCTTTAGAACGGTTTTAATTTGTATTTCTCTTATTACTAGTATTTCTCTTACTTATTATTATTCTATGCCTCTCTAATACAGAGAGTCATCAACATAGATCACACAGTCACAGACTTAGAGCTGGAGGGTACCTTAGATTACCTAGCCCTACCTTCTTATTTTACAGATGAAAAGACTAAGGCCCAGAGATTAAGTTACCTGCACTTTTTTTTCATTGATTGATACTTTCCTTTTTTTTCTTTTGAAAACTGCCTAGTTTTGCTGAAGTGTTTTTTTTAATTCCTTTTTTCATTCTTTGTTGCAAGAGAGAGTTCAATAGGTAAGGTGAGGGAAGTATATACTCAGAAAGAAAGGCATAAAAACAGAAGATACCAATAAGAATTTAAAAAATAAAGCAGCCAGTCATGAGTTTTAGGGTTTTTTGGGGGGGTGGGGTGGGGGATGGGGAGGAATCCAACACAGACAGGAGGGGACTTAGGGATCATGTAAAATAGAAAAGGTAAAGTGAGTTAAGAAAAGCAGTTGTAATGAGAAACTGGGAGAAATTAGATGTAGGAAGGTTGTAGTCAGAGAGAAACTGCTGAGCAAGGGACCTCTGACAAGAAGCAGGGTCTCACAGCTAGGGCAAGGGTGTGATCATGCTGATATGGAGTTGATGTGGAGATAAGATGGCAACCTTCACAGTCAAAAAGAGCATGAAAAGAGCACTGAATTCAGAGTCAGAAGATTTCAGTTTACATAACTAACTCTTCTACTTACTGCTTAGGTGTCCTCAGGCAGGTTACTTTTCCTGCCTAAGACTCAGTTCCCTCATCTGGAAAATGAGGGCATCAAATTTGATAATCTTGAGGGCCCCTTCCAGTCCCGACATTTCATGACTTTCTAGTACAAAAGCTCATCAACACAGATCGCAGGATCATACACTTAGAGCTGGAAGGGACTTTAAAGGTTAGCTAGTCCAACCTTCCTATTTTATAGATGAAAAAACTAGGGGCAGCTAGATGGCGCAGTGGCTAGAGCAGCGACCCTGAAGTCAGGAGGACCTGAGTTCAAATCCGACCTCAGATCAAACACTTGACACTTACTAGCTGTGTGACTTTGGGTAAGTCACTTAACCCCAATTGCCTAAAAAAAAAAAGTAAAAACTAAGGTCCTGAGATTAAGTGACTTGTCCAAGGTCACACAGTTCTTTAACAGAACTGGGGTTTGGACTGAGATACTCTGTATGATTCCTAACCTGACACTCATCCCATTGTAGCACAATGCCTTACTAGAGTATATGTGGTATATGCCAACCAAAAGTCAATCCATAAACATTTATTAGGTTCTTATTATGTGCCAGCTAGGTGGCTTAAGCGGATAGAATGCCAGACCTGGAGTCAGGAAGACTCATCTTCCTGAATTCAAATCTGGCCTTAGATACTTACTAGCTGTTTGACTCTGGGCAAGTCACTTAACCCTGTTTGCCTCAGTTTCCTGATCTGTAAAGTAAGCTGGGGAAGGAAATGGCAAACCACTCCAGTCTCTTTACCGAGAAAACCCAAAATTGGGTAATGAAGAGTTGGACACAAGTGAAAATGACCGAACAACAACAAAATTATCCTCCAGCTACAGCAATACAAAGGAACACAGGGGATACGAAAGAACAAGTTAAATAGTCCTTGCCCCAGAGGAGCTTACATCCAACAGAAAAGACAACATAAGATTACAGAGCTAGAGCTGGAGGGAATTTGGGGGGACATCTAGTTCAACTCCTTTATTTTATAGATGAAAAGCCTACACCTAGAGAAGCTAAGAGGCTTGACCGTGGTCGCAGAAAGAGTAAGGAATTCAACCAAGATTCAAACCCGCATGCTTTTGTGTGGGAGACTCATAATAATGCAGGCCCCTCAGGGTTAAGTTTGAATGTCTGCAACTTAATTAAACTTCAAAAATGTAACTGACTGAGTCACACTGTCATGGGCACATCCTGCTTCTCGAAGACCGCATATATGCCTTCCTGGAACTAGCCTCCTCATAAAGTAGATTGCTAAGGACAACAACATTGTGAGCTCTGTGGTCAGGGACAGGTGTTTGTGGATTTTTCCTTTAAGAACTGTATGAGGGGACAGAGCCAGCTCTCTCTCTCCTTGCTTGCCTGCCTTGCTGCATTGAGGAACAGCCCTTCCTCGAGGAAGTTAATAAATCATCTCCTTGCTGGATTAAGAGTCTCCGAGGAATTTTTATTTGAAAAAGGGGGCATAGCACACACTTTGAATCCAAAGTCAATGCCTTTTCTATTCCTACAAATATATATGCATATAGAGAAAATATGCAAAAAGAATAAAGGATAGATATGGGAGCTAGGGCACTCACAGCTTAGCTATAGGGATCAGGAAAGATTTCATGCAGAAACGAAGATCCAATATCTAATAGGATATTCATAGCTTGTAGTAGCAAAAAGCAGGGAACAAAGTAGGTGCCTATCAGCTGGAAAATGTTTTTATTTTATTTTATTTGTAGCTCTGAATTCTGTCCCTCTCATCTTCCCTTTCCCTCACATTGAAAAAGCAAGAACAAAATTTACTGCAAACATATATAGTTAAGCAAAGGGCAGCTAGGTGGTACCTAGAGTACCAAGAGGGTAGAGTGCCAAGCCTGGAGTTAGGAAGACCTCATCTTCCTGAGTTCAAATCTGGCCTCAGATACTACCCTGGGTAAGTCACTTATCCCTGTTTGCCTCAGTTTCCTCATCTGCAAAATGAGCTAGAGAAGGGAATGGCAAACCACTCCAGTATCTTTGCCAAGAAAACCTCAAATGGGATCATGAAGAGTCGGATACAACTGAAATGACTGAATAATAACAATTGTCTAAAGAACATGATGATAGACAAGGGGCCATGTATGATGGGCTTTTCAAGTAGGCCAAATCCCTCATCTGATTAGTGATGTAGAGCTAACTATAAATCAGATATGTAAAAGCTATGAACATACCTTAGTTTCCTTCTAAAGTTAGAAATGCAAAATGGTAAGGTGGTCCCTTGTGCTTTTTAACCCCTTTTTATTGTTTGCGTACTGAATGCTGCATAATACTTGTTTTGTGCAACCATGAAATAGCTGGTGTAAAGTAGATCCACTGCCTGCCTTGTATGTGCTACAATTGTTCTTTTGTCCCAAAGGATCTTTGTACAATATTCATTTCATTACAGGAATTTTTAATTCCTTGATGTAAAGCACCACGAAATAATTCTTTGCTGAGCACATTTTCTCCTCTCTTTAAAGAACACCTTAGCATATTTCTATGCATAACCCTCCTCCTCTGAGTATTATGAGGACCTGATTTTGAACACGCAGACACAGACACAGACACACACACACACACACAAACATACACACAGCCCAGTTGTTATAAATTTTTATATAATGAAAAAACTTTTACATGTGCAGCAAGACAACTTCTTCAAGTTGTCTTCAAGTACTAGCCCAAAAACTAAATAAATCATTAACAACTGATTTTTTTTTTTAAAGAAAGAAAAACCATTAAAGGTTCCGGAGAACAGAAAATGAAGTGTCTGTCCCTCCTGCTGGGGCAGAATACTATCTACATTGTCAGGTGGTGTCAGGGTATCTAATGTTTGTGCTTAGTTTTTTTTCTTTGTCCCAAGGGAGGTCTTGGTATGTTGGGGGTAGGGCGAAGAGTTGTGTTCTCCAGAAATGACTGTGATATAAAGACAAAAGACATCAATAACTGATATATTAAAAAAAAATAATTGAAAATGTTCCTAAATTCTCATTTCCAACCATCTCTGCCTGTAGCAATTTGTTTAGGGGCACAAAGATCAAGGGTCTTTAAATATAAAGGTGTGCTGGAGCTAGTTGAATCAGCTTTTGAGCTGATTGTTAAATGTTTAGTGTGAGCATTTATACCTTGGAAATTGATAAATGCTACAAACCAGGGCTTGATTTATCAGTGATTTCTAGATTTAAGAAAGTAATGAAGAAATTGTTAATTATGCAGATTAAATATTAAAAGTGTGTTGAACATATTTTGGTTTTGGATAGTCAGTTGTTAAACATTTACCAGCAAACTCCTGATGGATCCAATAGATTCTTATAGGGACAAAATTTTTGATACTCCTTGGCACACACACCCCAAGAATTTTCTTAAAAGGCCCACCTCATTCCCAAAGTGATCATGCTGGTAACAAAATGATCTGGATTCTTTGAGACTTTGTAGTTTCTATTTCCCAGGCCTATTTATTGACATGCCTATGTAGCACCAAAACCATGGTGGGGGTGGAGTGGGGTAGAGCACACCTTAAGGAAGAGCTTAAGTGCTAGGGTGCTACATAAAATATAGGAGTCCTCAAATCTGGGGACAGCCCTCATTTCCCATTCTTGGTTAAGAATAGAAATATTAGAAAGAAGGTCTTGATAATACCCATTTTGTTATGCTAAAAGCATAACATCATCATAACATCATCAGATGGAAAGTGTTAGTCAATTGGTCATTAAACACTTAATGTGCTAAGCTCTAGTGATACAAAGAAAGGCAAAACCACAGTCCCTGCCCTCTGGGAGCCCATATTCTAGTGTGGGGAAATGATATGCAGACAACGTTCATGCAAGAAATATACAGAGTAGATGGGAGTAAGCTTGGAGGGGAGACATCAGCAAAGGTGGGAGATGGGGAGAGGCCTTTTTCAAAAGGCAGGATTTGAGCTGACCTTTGAAGGAGGCCAGGGAAGCTGGTAGTGAGAATTCGATTCTCCTATTCGCCTGAGTTACATCTGCTTCAGTATTGGAGGCCTCAGCCATGCAGGCTTTAAAAACATGGAGCTAAGGATGAGGCCAGAGTGAGATGTTGCAGATCACAGAGAAAAGCAAATATAAAGTAAGTTCAGGAGGGAGAGACATCTTCAAGGGAGGCTCCATGGAGAAGGTGGAATCTGAGCTGAATTTCTACAGAAGATAAGTATGCAGAGTCATAAATTATAAAGGTGTGTCCTTCCAGGAAGTAAACAGTTTATGCAAATGTACACACCAGAAGGAATGACAATTTAGAGGAATTTGTGTAGGGAATAGGATGAAATAAGGCAGGAAAGCTAAGGTGCAGCCAGATTATGAGGGCCTTAAGTCTGCCTTTTATTTTAAAGTCATAGGTGGCTCCAGAAGAGTTTTTATCATCAAGTGACCTGGTCAGAAGTACGTATGCCCTGGGATGATTTTTTGGCAACTGGATGGAGGATTCTTTGGGAAGGGGATTAACACAAACAGTCAGATAGACATATTTGATGGGCAATTGGTGAAGCAGAACTGGAGATCTGATGAACTATTTGGGCTGAATATACAAATCTGGAGAAATCTGAGCAGAGATGAGAATTAAACCCATGTGAGAGGAGATCATCAACGGAGATGGTATAGAGAAAGAAGTGGTCCCGGAGCACCCTTGGAAGATACCTATGCTTGGGGGATGGGAGATATGATGACCAGCAAAACAAAAAGATTCATGAGTGGCCTTATGGATAGGAAGAAAACCAAGAAAAAACAGCTTTCTTCACGAAGCTGAGGGAGGAGAGAATAACCAGGAGAATAAGATGGCCATCAAGCAAAAACTACAGAGGTCAAGAAGGGTGAGGACTGAGAAAAGTAGATTAGTTTTCGAAATGAAAAGATCACTGGTAACTTTTGATAAAGCGGTTTCAATAGAGCGTTAGGGGTTGAGAAGAGATGAGAAGTGAGCGGGTAGTGAGGGAGAAAAGGTAGTAAGTGTAGCCAATTCTTTCTTGAAGTTTGGCATAGAAAGGCTGGAGAGCCACAAGATGGAAGCTTAAAGGAATGGCAACAAAAAGTGAAAGCTTGTTTGTTTGTTATAAGAAAGTTTTTTTTTAGTGAGCAACAAGCATTTATTGTGTCTACTTATGAACTAGACAATGGAAATACAAAGACAAAAAATCAAATAGTCCTTACTGAATCAGGGTACACAACAACTACAAAATAAATACTAGATAATTTAAGGGGATATAGTGTACTAAATGGAACTAAAGGAATCGGGGAAAGCTTCACATAGAAGATGGCACTTGAAATGAGCTTTAAAGGAAACAAGGAATTTTAAGTGGTGAGGTGAGGAGAGAGGACATTCCTGGAATAACTTACAGTCAATGGAAAGATACAAAGGTAAGAAATAGGGTGTCCTGTAAAGAAAAAGCAAGAAGAGCAAATTGGTAGAAATGTAGAGTACAAAAAGGGAGACTGAGGCATGATAAAACTAGAAAGGTTTTAGAAAAATCACTTCTGTAGCTATGTCAGAGGTTGCAGAGTGGTGAGAGACTTGATCCACAGAAACCAAACAGGAAGGTATTACAATAGTTCCAAATCCTAGTCTGGGTCCCCACTTTGCTGCTTACAATCTCTGTGACCTTGGATGTCACTTAACTCAGAGTTTCAGTCTCCTTATTCATAAAATAGAAATAGTAATATCTGTGCTGCTTTCCTGACAGTTTTGTTGTGAAGCTCAAATGAGACAATGAGTCTAGAACAATATATATGTATTTGTATGTGTATGTATGTAGCTTTCTAACTATATACATAGTTAAACATAACTACATACAGTTACATCTATATACATAGCTATAGTTAATGATATATATGTGTGTGTGTGTAGAGAGAGAGAGAGAGAGAGAGACAGAGAGACAGAGAAACAAAAGAGACAGAGAGGGGAGAGACAGGAGAGAGAGAGAGAGAGAGAGAGGCAGATTGACAGACAGTGGGAGAGACCAGAGGTGATAATGGACTGGATCTGGTAGTGGCAGAATGAATGGAAAGGAAAGGATGACTCTGGCAAATGGTAGGCAGTATGGTACAATGGAAAGAGTTTTGGATCTGGAGTCAGAGGAATTGGGTTAAAACTCTGGCCGCGCCATTTATTACATATGTGATCTTAGGCAAGTCACTTAATTTCCCTGGGCCTTAGTTCCATCGTCTGTAAAATACGGGAGTTGGATTAAATGGGATCTGTAGTCCTTTCTAGCTCTACACCTATGACCCCATCATCCTAAGTAGATTGAATCAAGTTTCATGTCAAGCCAAGAGTTTAGTCTAGATGGCCTCCGCAGTCCTTTCCAATGCTAGTCTGTGAATCTGAGTAATATTGACTTTTAAAAAATGAGTCAGAAGCCCTGGGGGAAGTTGGTATTTCTAGAATGAGAAAGTGCCATCTTTACTGTCACTCATGTGACTTTCAGACTTAAAAAAAAATCAGGCTGACTAGGGGGAAAAAGGCTTTTCAGGGACACCCCAAAGTTAATATCAGATTAATATAATATTAAGAGCCAACGTCATTGTTTGACAAAACTTAACAAGAGGTGCCTGCTCCCTCTCATCTCCGTTAAAATGTTACCTGGCCTCCCTTCTCTGGGAAGGTGAGGGACCGCGTGTGTAAGAATATTGCCTAACTTGTCACATGCGGCTGGTATGTTGCTTTTACTAAACTATTTTTTCTTCTTTCCTTTTTAATCTTTGTTAAAAGGGATAGAGCTTAGTGGGGTGGGGAGAAGGATGGAATGTGTTTGGAAATCAACCTGATGGATAACCAAAAGATATCAAGAAGAATAAGATTAAAAACAACAACAAACCAAAACACCTTACCTGAACCCTTAGAAGAGAATAACAGCATTATCCCCAGGAAACAGAGGCATCTGCTGAGACTGCTGGCCATGCTGAAGCAGGTCTCCCTGGGCATGGATATGAAGTGAACTCCTACTTAGTGGAAGAGCCAAACAAGCCAGCCCCTGACAGGCACGAATATTTGCTTCTGCTACCCTAATCATTAACTGGCGTTATGACCCCAAAAAAAGAAAAACGTAGCAATCAACTCAGTCGACGTTTGTTCAATGGCCAAAGTTTTTGTTTTCTCCCCGTTGGAAATAAATGGGCTGAGTGCTTTCTGTTTTGTTTTATTTTTTTAAACCAGAGGATATTTAGACATATTCTCCTTCCTCTTTTAATCAAACATTTTCAGAAAACTGTTTCCTGTACCTCTCCCACTTCCCATTACAATGTGTCTATAACAATAGAGTTAAAACAAAGGTGCCTTTCAACTTGGATTGTTGGAAAAATTCTGTAGTAGGTAAAGTCTTGCCTTTAAGACCTTTCCATCTCCCTTCTCATGGAATCATCTAGTCCCAGGGTCCTTAACTTGGAGTTTGTGAACATGATAATATTTTAAAATTATCATTTTAATAACTGTATTTCAATATAGTAGGTTTCCTTTGTAATCCCATGTATTTTATTTTATGCATTTAAAAACATTATTCTGAGAAGGATGGGTTATAGACTTCACCAGACTGCCAAAGATGTCTATGACACAAAAAAAGGTTAAGAACTCCTGGTCTCATCCAAACCCTTCATTTTATAGAGGAGGAAACAGAGGTTCAGGAAGGGAAAGTCATACAACCGTGGGACTTGCCTAAGGTCACATAGCTAGTTAGGAGCAGAACTGGACTGGGATCCTGATGTTTCCTGGATTCTGCACTGCAACCACCGCTTTCTTAGGTAAGGAGATGAACTTATTAAAATGCAAAATTGTAAACTGGTGCTACTGAGTGGTGTCAATGCCTCTTTGACCAAAGAGCAACTCACACATCTTGAATGGGTATTGACATCATGATTGCCTTGTCACACACAACATGATTCTGGAAGTGGTGATGGAGTGGTGAGTTCATTGCAGCTGCTCTAGCCCCTCAGTATTCATTCTTTCCCTCACAGTGAATCTGCAGTCAGAGCAGGATGATGGCAAACAGAGTAACATTGAAGGGGAGCTGGCCATATGCAGGATGCTGTGGCCTGGTTGTGGTCAAAGTTTCTAGACCGAGACATTTCACCATCAATAAGACACACACGTTTGATTTGCTTTCTGGGTGGTTGAGCCATCCACATTCTCTTGGCTAGTCCCCCTGTGACTAACAAATAACTGGGCTAGGGATGGCTAGGGCTAAAATTTGTATCCATAGAGCCATTTTAAATTTATTCTAGTTTAATTCCAGTTGGTAAAAAGACATACAGTTAGGAACGTAAGTGAAATACACTTCATTTCAGCTCAAAATTCAACTGCATAAGTATAGGAGATGTCAACAACTAGCTTGATAACAGTTTATTTGAAAAAGGTCCTACAGGTCTTAGTGGACTACAAGCTCAGAGAGAACAATAATATATCATCATCATCATCACTCACATTTATATGGCACTATACAGTTTACAACATTCTTTCCTCACAAGAATTTCATGAGGAGGGGCAGCTTGATGGGGCAGTGCATAGAGCACTGGCCCTGAAATCAGGAGAACCTGAGTTCAAATCCAGCCTCAGACATGTAACACTTACTAGCTGTGTGACTCTGGGCAAGTCACCTAACCCCCATTACCTCAAAAAAAAAAACAAAACCTGATTTATGAGGACTTGTACCTGCAACTAACCTATTAAGAGACAGCTTAGTACAGTAGAAAGGACATTAAACTGAGATCTAAGAAGACTGGGTCTAGTTATTTTCTTACCACTACATGGCTGTATGACCTTGGGCTAGTCATTTCATCTCTATGGGCCTCCATAAAATGAGCAGGTGGGACTAGATTATCTCTGAAGTGCCTGCCAGATCTAACATTGCATGATCCTGTGTTTATTCTTTGTGATTCCCCCCTCCCTCAACCCCATTGAGTAGATTTTTAAACAGCTGATTTTTCATGAGCTCTACTTGTGTGGAACTAGGTAGGGGGAAGAGCTCTGTGGGAGAATGGAAAGGGGGAAAACTGTTAATTCCCGACTTGGTATCTTTAGAGAAGAAATCCCCCCTACTCTCCCAGATGGTGGCAGTTGAAAGTTACCTAAGACACTGGCAGGAACCAGCCTACAACAAGCTGCTTGGGGATTGCCCCGGGCCACATTTTGTTAAACATTGATATTAAGGTGTGGCGGGTGGGGGGGATGGGAGGAAAGAACAGACCCTAGAATCTTCGATAGGCAGGGAAAAGAAGTACATCACAGACGTACAAGCTGCTCATGGCCTGAGGTCTCCAGGCTCCCAGTCCCTCAAACCAGGTTTATACTGCTGGCATTTGAGGCCCTTGGAAAAGCTCTAACTCATTGACAACTTATAAAGCACTTTTCTTTCACATCTATTATCTTCCTGCAGCCCTAGGAGTTAGAGGGCAGACACTGTCATCCCCTTATTTTACAGATAAGAAAACCATAGGTCACAGAGATTAAATGCCTTGTTCCAAAACACACAGTGGTGCTGGGCCTTGAGCCCACATATCTTGACTTGAAATACAATGTTTTTTCTACTACACTATGCTGCTTCTCCTGTTTAAAAGTGCCCCTTTCCTCCTCCCTCTCACAGATACCTAAAATTCTACCAAGAGGTTCGTTGTTTTGGTTAAGCAAGGGATCATAATCTTTTGTGTGTCATACACCCCTTTGATTTTTTTGTTTGTTTTGTGAGGCAATCAGGGTTAAGTTACTTGACCAGGGTCACACAGCTAGTGTCAAGTGTCTGAGGCCGGACTTGAACTCAGGTCCTCCTGACTCCAGGGGCCAGTGCTCTATCCACTGTGCCATGTAGCTTCCCCTTCATGGACCTCTTTGGCAGTTTGGTGAAGCCTAGAGATTCCTTCTCAGCATCATGTTTTTAAATGCATAAAATGAAATACATAAGATTAGGAAGGAAACCAATTATTGAAACATACATACATACATACATGTATGTATATGTATATATGTACATATATACGTAAACACACACAATTTATGAACCCCAGGTTAAGAACCTTTGGGTTAAAGCATTGTCCCAAAAACTGGGGGGGAGGGGGAGAAGGGAAGAGATAAGCAAGTCTTTCTTTTTAAACCAAACCCCATCCCCCTCCCCTGTGCAAAGTAGTTTGTGAGATCCTAAGTGACAAAGGAAACAAATTCTAATTAGGGGGAAGGAGAATGAAGTCTAGAGAGGAAAAGGAGAAGTAGAGTTGGGTGTTGGGGAGAGGGAGGATCCTGGCTTACAGAGATGACTAGTAAAGGCACCGGTGAATTTGAATGGAAAGGAGAAAAAAGGTTCCCAAGATAGATGTGGAAAGTAGAGGTGAACTTTGACTATTTTGTAGTTTTGTCTAAATAAGCTCTACCTTCTCTCCCCAGCCTATTGTAACTGTAATTCCAATGAGAGGACACCCCCAAACTCCTAGACACATTTCCAGTATAGCACCCCATTAGAGGTATGTGAAGTGGTGGGAAGAGGCTCTTTCCTCCCACTTTTAAGCAGGCACAGATATTCTCTGACTGATTCTTATTGCCACGGTGACTCTTTTAATTGGCTGCTGGGCCAAAACTCCGTGGTTATGGGGGAAAAAAAAGGACAATCCTCCCTTCTGAGGCCCCTCTTTACTGCTGGCCTCTAGATGTAAGGATGACTCACTGAGCTCCATCTCCTACTAGTCCTGACCTGTGAGTGCAAGGCCTGCTGGGGAAGCCTGTGTGTCTTCTTTCCTTTGGGCCTTGTGTGATCACCAAAGGCAACTGGTATCTTCCTTCTTTTCTCAACACCCTGGTAGTGAGGTAGCAGCTACTGGGTCAGTGGCCATGGAAGCATTGGTAGCAGCAGAGGCCTGGGCAGAGCAGCTGGCAAACATAGAGTAACTCACAGAAAGACTCAATTCAGTGGAAAGGAAAGAGCCCGCTTGATGTTGGTTGGACTGTCTTTGGTGGATGAGCAATGCCATTGCAAATGTCCCAATGAGGCTTGCAGACTAGACTTTTAAATGACTATAATTATTCTATGATTATCTACTGTTTAACGTTCCCTTTCTTGTGTTTTCTATGTAGGAATAATACTGCCTGTTCTATTCCCGAGTCAGGTATAGAACTCTAGGCACCAATATTTCTGTCCTTCCTGCCACCCCCCAGCTTGGGAGGACCCCTTACCCTAGAGCCAAAAACAGAAGTGTCCTTCAGGAATCTGGGAGCTAAGATCCTCTATTGAGAAGGCAGACAACCCCACAGCAATGAACCCAGGACAAACTGGAAGGGCAGGTAAAAAAAGACAGAGATTGTTGAAAGTCACCAATCCCTGGGGCCTTAGCTTATCAGCACCTGGCTAGGCACTGGGCTAAACCAGAAATGTTATTTAGGCATCCTGGAATATGGACAAAGAGCAGAAACTTGGAGTTTGAACTGAAATTTGAAGAAGGTGAGGTGGAAGGTGGGGGTGGGGGGGTGGGAATGAGAAGTGGAGATGAGAAGTAGAGACATACTAGTCCTGTGACTTTCAGTAAGTAATTTAACCTCTCTGAACCTCAATTTCCCATCTGTGAAATGGGGACAATTCCTGCTTGCCTACTTCATAGGGGTTAGATCAAATTAAAATAATGTGTGAGTAAATGCTTTGTAGCAACCTATAAATCATGCTGTGAATGGTAGGGAGTCTTTAGCCTCCAGCATTCAGTCCTTCCCTGCTTTTCTAACTTCTGTAACCAGATGCTAAGTGATATCATCTGATCCCAAGTGTCTAAGAGGATGACTCTCCCTCTTCCTGAATAATGGGATATTGGTTACTAGAGTAGTGGCAACAACTAAACATGAGGCACTGCATCCCCATTATCTATCTGGAGGGGAGTAAAAGCAGATATGCACGGGCTGCCCTACTCCCACTCCCTGTTAGGAGGAAACCAAAAGCAAAGGATGCTCATGGCAGGAAATCACAAACCTCATGTCCCCATCCTCCTGCCCTATTGACAGAATGACCATATGGTCTAAAATAATATTTGAGACATGTGGCCTGATGAATGCACCCCCTTCTTTTGTGAATCTATTTATAAATCATAGATTATATGGTGAGAAACACTGGGAACAAGCATCACCCCATTACACCCCAAATGTCACATGCACACCCATAACATACACTAGCTATACACATGTATGATGGGACAGGCTAGTGCACTCCCCTTTCATAACTGATCACAGTGCTTCACTGGCTTGGATGGCTCTTTTGTGATTCGTGCATCTTTTTATTGTAATGAGCACTGACCTGATTCATTTAGCAATTATGTGCTAAACTACTGGAATTCTGGGATGATGATCATTTATGGGGACAAGAAAAACATTTGTAATGAGGGACGTTCTCCCCTCTCCCCCATAGTATATGCTCAAGTTGCCATTACTGGTTCCAGTGACCACATGGGTGCTTTGAGACTTGTACACATGTTGTATTCTGGCCCTGAAAGGACTTTGATTTTTGTTATGATGTGGTGAATACTCAGTGATCCCTTGATTGTCCCTGTACCTCATGACAGTAGGGGTGGGGGAAGGTGGGGGTTGCATTAGATTGTGGCAGGGACTATCTTTCACCTTTTTCTGTATCCGTTATACCTAGTGAAAGGACTAGAGAAGAGCCTCTATGATATGTGGGGGTTTGTGCCCAGTGATGACAACCTACATGCACATAGTCTGGCACATATAAGTGCTTACGGGACAGCTAAGTGGTACGGTGGATAGAGCACTAGCCCTGGAGTCAGGAGGACCTGAGTTCAAATCCAGCCTCAGACACATAACACTCACTAGCTGTGTGACTCTGGGCAAGTCACTTAACCCCAATTGCCTCACTAAAAAAACAAAAAAACAAATAAGTGCTTAATACATGTGAGTTGATCGAATGACTGGCTGTATCAATTAAAAGAATAGACAGCCTCCAGTTCAGCCTTTTGGCCACAACTCTCCTGGGTAACTTGGAGGAAGCACTTTGCTTTGTCTCTCTTGTGCAGGGGGTGGGGGAATGTGTGATACTCAACTTGCCTCTGGACCCCTACCAGTCTTCTCTGCTTTGTGTTTTCTTTCTGGAATGGGTAAACAAACACCATTCTCAAGGTAGACATTTTGTCGAAATTTGAAGGTGACCTTGTGAGTTTGAGAGGCCTGGGGCTCCTGCACCCAATTAAAGGAGTGGTTGATTGCAGTAGCAGCAAGAGTGGGCTGGTGGGAGAGAAACCTTCTGCATCAGAGAAGATGACTACCAACAGGGGAATAGTCCAAGTCTCACTAATTTATCAGACATGGACCAGGGATGGTATGAACAGTGCAATGACAGGAAGAAATGTAAAATGTCAAATTAACAGCAGTATAAACTACATTATGTTTTAATGGAGTTTCAGTGTCATCCTCCCAGCAGATTGTACCTTAACTTAGAAGTTAAGGAATCAATTCTGTTCTGTTCAGTGTGTGAAGGAATAAATTACCTGTCTAATACTTTATTCATTCTGTACATAGTGTCCTTTTTTTTTTTTTTACTCTCCCTCTTTGGGAAAGCCCTAGATGTGAGCCTTACATAAAAATTAACTCTGGTGGTACAGGAGCAGATGGTTGAATGAGCCAATGTATGTGAGAAAAGGGAACTTTCTCTCATTAAAGACCAGGCTCCCCAAGACTGAACCCAGTCTTTGATCTGGAGACAGATCAAAGAGAGGGCTTAACACTCTCAGCTCCAGTTCTTCAAGGTTAGATTTGAAATCAGGACTATAGAAGAGGCTATGTGGGGGTTTGTGGCCAGTGACGACAACCCACATGCTCATGAACTTCAAAGAAATCAAGACACACTGAAGGGAATTTGAAACATAAATGTAGCTCTCTTTCCCATCCTCTTTTTGTTCCACGGGACACTAAGGCTTTTTCACAGAAACTTGTAGTCCACAGATGTTCCAATTTGCCTACATTAGTGAGACAGAGGACAAGTAAAGGGAAGTGGATATGGTCGAGTGGAGCTCATGGGAACAAGGGTACATGTAGGTGGGGCTTATGAAAATGCTGCAGGCCAAAATATTTTGTTATGAATGAATGCCCAGAAAAAAATGTCATTTTATTCTGTATTCTCTAGAATGCACTTGGCGATCGCAGACAGCTACAATCATGGTTACACACATGCTTTGCTTCAAAATACATGAAGCAGTATGTAATGAACTTGAACACGCACAGTTGAAGAAATTCCTCTGTCAGCTCAGAGGCTGCTAGATTTTAAACTTCATGAGGGTAGGGGAATCTGTTTCACTATCATTTTGTATCTCCCTGAGTGCCTGCCATATGCAACTATGCCACACATATGCAACTGTGGCTACAGAAGCAAAACAGGGGTGACATATCTCCTCTAGGGCCAAAATGACTCTTGCCATTCTTCCTCTTCCTTGAACTTGTGAGTCAGGAGTCTCATCAGCATGACATCCCAGGACCAGTTGGGTTTCATTTTTCTTTGTTTTTTTTTGTCCCCCTTCCCCTCACCAACCCCCCCCCACCTTGAAAATGTATTCCCTCGAGTAATAAAACAGTGTACACATGGACCACATTTGCAAAGGCTTAAATCAGATGTGAGTGTACTCTCTGATCTGGTGCCCTTTCTTTTAAAAGATAGTTCTGATTCTTGTCTTGGTGGACATAACTGGAAAGCTGGAACATGCACCCTGCTGTCAGGAAGCAGAGACAAAGCCGCTTGAAACAAAGAAACTTTGATGTCTCCTGCCACTGCAAACATTTTAAATGGTGGCCTGAAACCAAGCAACAATCAATTTTGAAGTACAACACAGGTACACAGATTCCGCCATCCTGCACCTGCTGTTGGTATTGTTCGACAGCCTCACAGGTCATTAAAACAAAATCGTGGCCTCACCTGCCCTGCCCCTTGCTCCTCAAGCTTAATACATCCCTAAGTGAATAGCTGTCTGAAGTCCCTTGCAATTCAAAATCCTGATTCTGGGTTCATATTTTAGCTGGGCTCCTCCCCCTTCTTTTCCCTTCCCCTCCCCTACTGCTCTGCTCTTTCATTTGAAGCATGCAGTTGATAAAAAGTGAGAGTTGCAAACAAGGCAAGGGTAAGAATCTACTGCCTCCACCTTCTCTCTTGAAACACTAGATCAGATTTCTTTCAGAGTTCTGCCTATGTTACTCTTGGAGCTGTGTGGAGCCTGGTAGAGGACCGCATGTAGTCCAGGGAGTAGGATGGGCAGGAAGCAATCTCCCAAAGGTAAGGTAACAATGCTTTAAAATCCCTTGACTACTTAATTAAATCTCTTGGCTTTGGAAAAGGTGAGGCACCACTGTCAGTCAGTCAGTCAGTCAGTCAATAAGCATTTATGAAGTGCTTACTATGTGAAAGGCATTGTGCTAAGGGCTAGATGAGAGAGAAATGGGGTTATAATCATTCTTCCCCTCAACAAAGAGTTATAACCAATTGGGAAAGAACCGTGTTTCTCCCTAAGGGGTAATTGCTGAACTTTCCTTTGACTGGAGGGCATACAAAGCCCTGGCTGCTTTCTCTAATCTATCTTTATATTCTAATTTTTTGTAGTTGGAGGGGCTAACCCCTTTAAATCCATGAATGACCCCCCACCAGCAGCCAGCAATGGCAGCTGTGGAGTCACTGTCCCCACCATGGAAAAAAGCCCGGTGAGCAAGTTCCTTCCAAGAGTCTCCTGAGGCAAGGATGGCATCATAAGCAATCATGGGAGCATCATGTCCACTACTGCCTCCCCAGCCAGAATAACTCACTGACTTGTAGAATTGATCCCTCTCTTTCACACCAAAGGGCTTTGGGAAAATAGGGGATCCGCCATTTGAAATTCCTCGAAGGCTCAAGTACTTTTCCCATTGATCTTTGAAGTAGTCCCTGTAGCCAAGAACAAACAAACAGACAAATAAATAAATGAATGAAAAAATCTGCAGTAAACTCTAAATCACAACAAAGTCAGCAATCCACAGTAGAAAGCCAAAGCGGATGCCTTACTAAGAAAATTTTCAGACTGATAGCAAGCAGCCTACAGGAATAAAAATAAAAATTACTGACATTTCTATTGAGGCTTAATTAGGATTTAGAAAGCACTTTCCTCACAACAATTCTATGAGGGAGGTACATAGTGCAGGTAGCATCAGCTTCATTTCACAGATGTGGAAAATGAGACTTAGGGAGGATCATTCAATTGTCCATGGTCACAAGCGGTGTCAGAGTTGTGTTTCAAACCCAAGAATCCTGGCTCTAAACAAAATGCTCTCTCTACTAGATAGATAGATAGATAGATAGATAGATAGATAGATAGATAGATAGATAGATAGATAGA